TTACTAAGTATATTAATATCTTTCCCTGTGCTACATGTACAGGCGTAATTGTGATGTCTTTGTATTAAAAACATTCTACTGTCTTTTGAGATGATTGTTTTTCCCTATGGCTGTGTAAGAAGCGCGTGGGCGGGGGGGGGGGGGGGGCTATTATGCCGATACTTTGCTATAGAATACTATTGTAAACTTCACTACAATATACATGTGCCCCCTCAATAATAATAATATCTGACGATCTTCTATTTTTTTGGTTTGTTTGCCAAGGAATTTTCGGTCGTTGATAGTGCCCAAACTGAAAATATATGGTTGTAACCCCCACCCCACCCCCGAAATTGCTTATTAAGGGTCTGTATTTACCAGAAGTTGTTTCTGTATGCATTTTAATTTCCATCCTTGCATATCTGAGTTCAAACTTAAAACTGCACTTTTAAAGGGAGATGTGCCTCTGAGAATTTCAGGTCACCTGAGTCTTTCAGGTGACATATTGCTATCTCTGTTCGTTCGTCGTCGTACGTCATTCGGCGGTCGAAACATTTGAACATTTTTAGCTTCTTCTCTGGAACCACTGAACCAATTTCAACCAAATTTGTTATAACCCATCTTTGGGTAAAAGAGGAACACAACATTGTGAATTTCAGGTTCCCTGAGGGGTGGGACCAAAACCACTAAAATTAATGCAGTCTTTAAAAATCTTCTTTACTTCGATCTAGACATCAAGCAGTGAAACTGTTGGAATGAGGGGGGGGGGAGGGGGGGGGCTAGGGCTTAGTCTTTTCCTAGTATAGACATTGAACATTGCTGCGTAGGTTTAAGCCCCCTACTTTCCACACACATTGCTGAATAGGTTTAAAATTAGGAATTCAAAGTGGTGCTGTTTGGAAAAAGAGTGGTACTGAATATCGAACCTACCCCCCCCCCCCCCCCCATGTCAAGGGCTTTGGTTTAAAACATAACCCAAAGTCAATTGCAATACTCATTATTTTGGATTTCAATAATTTATTTATGATTTATTCTGTAATATTTTTCATGAGTTTAGTCTTAAATCCTAGCTACTTTCATTGGATAAAAGTACTGCTTGAAAAATGTCAGAGATGAAAACTTTAAGATATCGGAAATGAAAACAGTTCCGGAAATAAAATGCAGCCATTGAAACCATGCACTGTGAGTGTCTTGAATCTATTCCACAATATCTTACAAGTTACATTAAAACATTATCTATGGAAAACATCCTTAATATGGTATCATATGATTTTTGCCCGTTCACACATACAGGATATTTTGCCCCGTTTTAAATTCGCCCAGTCACAGTTCTGTTTAAGAATTTAAAAATGTACTGTTTTTTGAACTCGCCCCATTTTAAATTCACTCACATGTAGTTGTTGCCATGGCAACAATTGATTGAACATTTCATATATTTTTTTAGCACTCTCCACAAATACAATCATCAACACATGAATTTAATTTTCATTTCTATGACGAACACTGATCCATAAGTCAAATCTCTTTACAGGAGGCATAGGGTACATTGGTTGCCATGCACTGGGAATCGTTGCCATGGGTTGATTAAAAACGAAAAAATTAAGATTGACCATCAGTTCATCGTCAGTTTCGTTCAGTCACATTTTTCTGACTTAATTTGAATAAGCCTAAATAAGATTAAACTAATACACGCCAAAACTACCTTTCTTTGCCTTGTTGCTATGGAGAACCTGCCGTTGCTATGGAGATAAAGAATTATGCAATATTCAGTGATGTGCTAGGGAGACCAAATTTAGTTATAGTATTTTAAAATTTGTATCTTATTTATCATAAATAACCGTTCATTTGATTTTTCCGTAAACTTTTTACATTTTTTCTCATTTTATGCATCAAAAAGTCCTGTTTTGTTGCTAGGCAACAGATTCGATTTTCAAAAGAGCCCATGGAGTTGACTTCAAATTCTAAAAGAGAAATACCTCTGCTTTTATGTGAGATACATGCAACAATTGTATTAATCTGGCCATTTTTAAAATTTGGCCTTGAATATTGCCAAAATCACGAAAAATGCTGAATCAGCAAAACTTGTAAAACATGTGTACCTTCCAATTCTACCACAGAACTGACTGTCACGACAGCCGTCGTGCTCTGTCCAGTCAGATATAACAAGATTTTTTTTTCTATTTACAATTTTTTTTTATCTATAAATAAAATCAATAAAAACAATATTTACAACATATTTTTACAGCTATTATTTACAATACACAGAAATTAAAGTCTTTATTAATCCTCAATATCGTTGACTCTAAACCACGTCTATCCAGACACGACCCGTTTCACGACGGACTCCCGCCAACTGGCTCCCAGTGGGTATCCCGGTCTGGTAAGTTCATTGCCAACACACACATGGATAGATTAACATTGGATAACATCAGGAACCTTTGAATTAAATAACATTTTTTTAAGTCACAAGCCACGTATACAAAAGGAAAACTCAAGTCACCATTGACTACAATTGCACTTATGGCACACCATACAATCAGTCCCGGTAATTTTAACCGAACACTATTATAATAAGAAAAACGTTAAGAATACACAACATCTTAACAAAAGTGGTTTTAACTATTAAACCCACAACACCGACTTTATAAGCGGCAAAACAAAATAGCCTACGTGCGTATATAACTCAGTACATTGCACAAAAATAGAACGATAAACGCATGAGTAACTCTACCCAGCAAAACCTGTATACGTAAATAGTAACAAAAACATTAATTAACTCAAGTTCTTAAATAGTTCTACGTTTTAAATGTATTACTCAAAAACTTACATATGAAATAAAAAAACAAACTTACCCCTTTGGAGAAATGGTTACCGTTGAAAGAAAAAATTTAGCCACTCATCTTGGACTGTATGTCAACCATTTAAAAGCTATGAAAACGTGGACCCTGGTTACCTGGTCAGCTATGCAGCGATTTAAATACCCCAAAATACAATAGGTCGTAACTGACCAATACCTGCAAAACTTAACTGAGGTTCAATAAGGTAACAAAAGTATAGAGGTCCAGTAAAGGGTAAATAAAATAAAAACCATAAACATAATGTAAATGCAATTAAAATTAAATATTGATTGTGACACTGACTTAGGACCTAAATATTTTTTATTACATTATCTGGACACAATAAATGTGTATCTTTATTACACCCATAAGTAAGAATAATTCTCATGGTATTTGCGAGTTATTTTAAGCCTCAAAGATAGGTGATTTTTTGTCCTTCAACATTGAAAAATCCGCCGGTTGCTAAGGAAATTTCTTTGGCTGGGTTTCCATGGTTACCATGACTCAAAACATTTTTCATTTTACATACATTGTTCATACTTCAAAATAAATCTATGAGAGGAAAATCATCAGATTCTGAAAACCTTCATGTATCACTTTTTTACAGTTTTGTCTGATTTTTATGTGGACTGGTACTTAAACATGTTAAAGTGTTTATACACACTCTTTTTATTGCGGACTTAAATATGCATGGATTATCTTCAGTTTTAAAATAAAAGAAATGATCATTTAAATGCAAACCCCGAAATATTTTATTTTTCTATATATCATATGATATTAGTAAATATCGTAATTTTGTCGCTTTTACCCCCCCCCCCCCCTCCTCCCTCTACCCATTTTTCCATCTAAAACAACGTCGCCTGTTAAGAGAAAAATAAAGCATGGCGAGAAAATTATTTCATGATGTAAGAATTATTTATTTTTTAAAAACTAATACAGTATTGCGATCGTTTGTTGGTGTTATGTAAACCCATTGCGACCTATAAAATACGTAGTTGGATAGAATAAATCCAAATTTTGTGTTTTGACATGCCCCCTTTTCACTGCAATAAAGGCTACCTCCAATTTTCTTTACATTTTTGATAAGAAGAATGAAAATTGCATGATATATGTATTGGAGTATTAGGTCCATTTTCTAGCAACTATAAAGACCTACCTGGACCAAACTTATATGGATGATGCATCTGGGGGTAAAATAAAATGAGCTTCTAATGAACACAACAGACTACAATGCCTCAAATGCTGCATGGACCTGACCTTCATTTTGCTGGTACATGACCTTAATAAAATTTTTGAAGCTTATAATGACCAACCTTATATTTTTCAAAAGTAGGTCAAACTCCAAGATTAAGGTCAATTTCTTGGTGCTCAGTGGAAGGTAGGTTTTATCACAAAAAACTTGCATGTGAGCTTTAAAATTCCTACAACCAAGCATTTTAAAGTATGGCCAAGTTTAAATATCTTGAAAAGATGGCAAAGGGTCAAATTTGTACCCAACTGGAAAGTTTGAGTTACAAAAAAAAAATATATATGAAAGCCCTATAGCCGTAGCTCCATGCAACCATTGAAAAGATATTGCCAAGGTATAAGTAATAAAATGTGCGCCAAACTGCAGATCTATTATATGTGTCATGAGGTTAAAAATGTGCATCTCCAAAGAAAGGAGTTTAATAATAATTGTTAAACGAAATATGTGTGATCGTATGAAAGTACTATATGGCACCTGCCTTTGAAAGTTACGAGCAAGTTTTATTATTTTTTTTCTTAAGTTTGGTCATACTGAAAGGTCAAGGTAAAAATGTTGGTACTCAAAGAAACTTCAACAGGCTGGACAAATGCCAAATGAACATGTGAAATATGCATGTAAAAGCTCCAAAGTTCAAGGTTATAAGGTTTGGTAAATTGTAAGTCAAAATCCAACGTCAAAAGGTCAAATATATTAATAGTTTAAGAAAGGTCTTGTCACAAGGAATATATAATTGACATAAAAACCCTAGCAGACTTTTGTGTTAAAAATTCAAATATTGGCGCCATTACCAAGTCTGAAAAATTACCATATATGGTAATAAAAAGAAATTCATGATACTTTTTAAAATAATACTTGAAAAGTACTAATTTATTGGAGTATTAATTGTAAATCGTGGCTTTTCAGTGCAATAATTTTACGTCAAACTTATTACAACAGTGCAAAACTGATATGACTATTGTAGGCCCCTACGTTTATCGCTTACATTTTTCGTGAGTCAAACCGGAAGTTCACTCCTTAGGCTATAGTAAAAGAATTTTTTCAGCAGGTTGAAAGATGGTAAGGTTGCGACTTTACACCATTGTAAAACGTGTATTATTTGAATGAAAAGTGAATGATTTTTGAGTATTAATTCCATTAAATTGTTTTTTCAGTCGCAGTTATCAGAGGATCAGCTTGCAGGTAAAGTTTTACTTCGTTTGGAAAATATCCCCGGAAGTAGAGTTATTCAAGGAATGTAAACTTGCAAGACAAGTTACTTTAGCCAGGGACCTATATATACTTGGTCCCTTCTACGGCATATTTTAAAAATATGAAAATTAATGTAGATTGAGATTAAATATATCCCGTTGAGTATTGTTATGGCGATGTTTGTTAAATGTGTGGAGGTTTAAGCTGTACTGTAGTCACTTTTGTAGAGAGTATAAAAGGACTGATTGCACTTTTCCTGCTGATCTGCCGAGTTCATAACTGTTTACTGTGTTTTAAAGTCAAATTCTTTGTCTTCTTTTTAATTTGATAGGATTTATTTATTTGTGTCCCTGAAGAAAAATGTGCATAATTTTGTTCTTTTGTTCACTTTGTTTTGTTTGTTTATAAATTGTTCTTCAACGTCCCTCTCAAGAAATTTTCACTCATATTGGGACGCCCCACTTGCCAGTGGAGGGCTACAAATTTTGACCTATACTCGGGACTTGGGGCCATTGAGCAGTGAGGAATCTTTTTTGTGCCAGCACCTACTGCGGCTGATCGGGATGTATGCAGTCTTATCTGAAGGAACTAGCTACATGTAGAAGGAATATTATACAATCTCCATATACCACAGTGGGATTCAAACTGGCGACATAAGGATCAACCATTTACTTTGCGACTCTAGAGCAGACGCTCTCACCACTATGCTAGCGGGCAATGATTTACTTTGTTAAAGTGTCTTATATCATTCTAGTGATTATAATTGACTTTTAGCATTGTGCAATGGCTTGAGCCGGGACATTATCTTTGGTAGATCAGTTGGTAGAGCATCTGCCTAGTGATGCAGTGGTCCTGGGTTCGATTCCAGGTCCAGCCATACATTTTCTCCTTTTCTTTTCATCATATGATAATGTTGACAATACCTGAACTTACAGCTCCGAAAGTCCTGCCACTGGGCAATAAAAAATTGTGATATGTCTTCAAGGGCAAAGACAATTTAAGAGGGAGGAATATAATAGTTTATGCTTGGTAGCTCAGTAGAGCACCTGAATAGTGATGCTGGGCTCCCTGGTGTGAAACCTGGTCCAGGCATGCATTTTCTTTTCGGTTACAATTTTCTAAGTTCTAATTAAATTTTTGGAAAGGTTATTTGAAGATTGATGAGGATTATCTCTGCATATTGCTGAACATTTCTCATCCCTGGTCACAAAGAAATGGGGATTTTGCATTGTTAACGATTCCGTTTGTGTGCAAGCTTTTTGACAAGATTGAAAAACTCATTATGAACTTTTGTATTAACTCTGTTAGTGGTGAAAGAATATGTTTATTCTATTTAAAAGCACAAATGATTACAGTGTAGAAAAAATGAGAATTTCATATAACATGTATATGTGAGATTACAATTAAAATTGCAGAAGTTCAGGAAACTTTCAACCTCTTTGATCAACGTGGAGATGGCAAGATTGCTGCCGCTCAGTTAGGTGATGTTCTGAGAGCTCTGGGCCAAAACCCAACAGAGATTGAAGTGAAGAAATGTGGCTATGCAAACAATCCAGGTAAATTAGAAGTATTCATAACATGTTTCTCCCCCACTTCTTCTAAGCCTACTGGTCCATCTTATCATTTCTGAAAAGAAAATTCACTTTATTAGACCCGAGGCACTATACTTCGACCAAGTCTGATGGTCTCAAGTCTTTTGGAAAGACTTTGACATGTATTGTAGAGATTCAAGCCTGTTATACAGTTAGCCATAAACCCTCAACCCCTTTAATCACCATCAGCAATGAACTTTGTGCATTGAGTGCCAAACATTGAAAATAAATGAAACATTTAGATCAAAATGATAGTTTGTTTTCATGAGGTTCGGTAACACAAAGGTTGTACTTGTCTCTTCAGTGAGCTACAAAAGTATGCAAATTGAGGTATACAAAATGTCAAAAGTATATTTTATGAAGATAAGCTGAATTCTAAAAATTGATAAATTTATACCTACTTATTTTGATCAGATCTATAAATCCCTCTAATTTCTGGCATTTCTTATTGCTTACTCTGACTCTCACAATATTTTACATCAAGCTTCGGGAATTTGAATTTATAAATATGTTCAGTAAAGTATTAATACAGTAAGGTAATTATAATAAAGATATATGTGTGTGTTAATGGCATTTATTAAAAAACTATTTTCAGTAAATATAGATTAATTATATGACATGTTATTTACTTGTTACAGATGCCAGAATCTCGTTTGAAGTCTTTATACCAATATTACAAACCATCAGTAAGAACAGAGACCATGCAACATTTGATGACTTTGTAGAAGGACTTAAAATGTTTGATAAAGATCAGAATGGCTTCATCTCATCTGCAGAACTGCGACATATCCTAACATCTCTTGGTAAGTATTGAAACATATCTTAACATCTCTTGGTATGTACATATCCTAACATCTCTTGGTATGTACTGCGACATATCCTAACCTCTCTTGATAAGTACTGGAAATATCCTAACATCTCATAGTAAGTACTGCGACATATCTTAACATCTCTTGGTAAGTACTAGGGGTAAAACAATATGCCTACTTCATGGTTCAATACGTATCGTAAAATTTTGTCTCGGTTTGGTTATTTTCGATACGATACATTTGGATAGATGGTAACAAATTCTACCATTGTTTTATGCTTCCTTTTACTTAATCTACTCTAGTCATATAGTTTACGTGCAAAATGACTAGAGGAAATCACTTTAATTGATTTGACTGTTAAAATTATTTTACAAACTATCAGTCCACAAAAATTTACGTTTTGGTACTAATTATACTGAGAAATGTTTATACCTTATGCCAAACCTGACTGAATGACAATCCCGATCGAAATATGAACTGAAATTGAAATTTTGTACCGTGTATCAAACTGAGAAAAAATACTGCGGTGAACCGTTTCACTCCTAGTAAGTACTGGGACATATCCCAACATCTCTTGGTAAGTACTGCAACCTAATATCCTAACATATCTCGTTAAGTAATGTGAAATATCCTAACATCTCTTGGTATGTACTGTAGCGTATCCTTACATCTCTTGGTAAGTTAAATGCAGAAATATGAAATATCTTAATATCTCTTGGAAAGTTAGCTGCATGTTCTCCTTTTAATTACACATTGTTAGGATATGTCTGTAATCTAAGTTAAAGTATGAAATATTTTTAAAATTTCTGACACTGAATTCCGGCTCAGGGGCCATAAAACTGAGACGAGCTCAATTTTGATTTTAGTCTCAATTTTCCACTATCAATTCCTTTTGAAAAAGTGAGACATATCAAAAGTGAGCTCATCTCAGTTTTATTGCCCCGGAGACTGGTGTTGCTGTTTCATATAAAATTATATGTTGTGATTTGTTATTTTTAGGAGACAAACTATCAGATGAAGATGTAGATCAATTATTTCAAGGCATGGAGGATGCTCAGGGAAATGTCAATTATGAAGGTATGACTGAATCAATCAATATTAATCTTTTGATGTTTGATCAGGCACAGTGAATACAGATTGATAAACATCAAGTAATGAATTTAATAGAATAAAGACATGAAACGTCAATAATTGAGCTAATTTCACATCTGCGTGTATCGAAAACAAGGATTATTGTCCTACTCTTCACCTTTGATTATAACCTTGGAATAAATCTATCGAGAATTTTGTAACAGTTTTTGTCAATTAAATACATGGTTTAACCTTGACATAGGGGTCACTGATGCACAGTAACAAAGTAAACATCACTCTGCATTAAGTACATTTATTAAAATGATTATATGTATTTCCTTTGTAATCCTCTTTCTCAGAAGTTTATATTTTTTCAAAGCAATACGTTGAATAAAATTTATTCATATAATCGGTGAATAATAGGTGTCCCTCATTATTTTTGTAAAAAAAAAAAAAAAAAAAAAAATTACCAGTTTTATCTTCACTAGAGCAAATATCTGTTTCCTGTTCATATTCCACTTCCTTCTTCATTCTGCTGAGTAAACAAGTTGGACAATTCATAGCTAAATTTACTCATACTTGCTCAACAGCACTTTGATTAAAAAAATACTTTTATTTGTAGAGTTCATCAAAATGGTCATGAATGGTTGAGGAACAAACTAATACAATACAACTAGTTTATAGCTACACAATATAATCGCCAGTAAATATCATACATTCTTGCTTCTGTGATGAAAAAGTGACAATAGAACAACATAGCGCTGGTAGCTTTAGTTTTGAAAGTGCTAACATAAAAAAAAAAGAAAACATGCAATTTTCTTATTTCATAAAAGAGTTTAACAGACAGATTTGATTCAATTAACACTCCATTTCAAAGGACCAAAGTTAAGTATTTTTTGTAAAAAAAAAAAAAAAGGTTATCATATTACATGTACATTGTTATTGTAATGTATTTGTATAAAATTTATAATAAATATTTTGCAAATGCTTTATTTCTCTTCTTTTAATTTCAAACCCAAACTTATTTCATTATAACTATTTTTTGTTCATTAGACTATACTCAACATACTTGGAATTGAGATTCACATTTATTCATTTCTTGCCTAAGGGCAAGTAAGAGACCACAATTAGGTTTTTAAATAGAAAAAGCTCTCAAAAATATTTTTTTAAAGAATTATTAGGCCAAAAAATAAATAAACAAGCACTTTCAGTTAGTGAAGGTTCAGGTTTCTCAAGCCCTAGGGCAGGATTGGGCAAATAGGAACTCTGAAGAATTCAAATGAATAAGGAAAATATGAAAAAGTAACAAAAAGTCTAACATAACTTTGGTTGATAATGTTATAAAAGTAGTATAAATGCACAATGAAGTGTTTGAATTAAAAAGATCTGTATCGACAAATTCATGCAACTTGTGCAGACACTCATAGCACTAAATACTAGTATGTCAAAAGAAAGCTTTTTTTTTAAAGATGTTCTCACTTTGTTCTGAAAATTGTTAAATCTTCATATAAACTCAAGGTCTAAGTTGTGTTCAATGGTGCAAACTTTTCACTCAGTTTTCAGTAATCCATGAAGTATAACAAATGAGAAGTAAAAAACTTCTGTCGTTATGATGATTTATCCACCTTTGGGGCTCAAGATTAACTTTTCCCTTTAGGCTGGGTAAATATTGTACTCTTTGGCAAAATCGATGCATTGACATCAAAATCAGCTATAATTGTATATATGGTAATTAAGGGAGGGTAATAATTTTTGGCATTATTTTACGATTTATACAGAAGAAATTTCTCCAAAACAGCAAGCCAAGGTCAGTCATCATATTTGTATTCAAGCCTCCTGGTATGTTTTTAAAATTGTTTGGTTTATAATGTACGTGATGTACACCTTTGGGCTACAGTGGCACCAAAATTAATCTGATGTATGACACAAGGTCAAGGAGACTCAGGTGAGCAATGTGGCCCACAGGCCTCTTGTTTGAAAGATAATTTCACAGGGAATCATTTGCTCACACTGTATATATAGAAATGATTGGTGAATCCTTCATTTGATGAAGATTTTAGCAGGAGTTACTTCCCATTTGCCAGCAACATGAAAGCCAGCATGCACAGTTTCCTTAATAATTCAGCCAATTAAAACACTGGGAAACACTGTTGTACTGAGAAAAAATACACGTGTCGAAGTTAACTTTATATGAAAATTTGCTGCATTCATGTTCATACTAAATGATTAATAAATTTTACTGTATATATTTTACAATTTAAAAGTTGTTGTACCGGAAATTGAGGTGTAAAAAAACATTTTTTCCCCTGTAAAATATATTGTTAAAGCCTCCATAATTTTCATATTGTAAAGACTTTTCTCATTATTATTTCTGCCATATGCCTTTCTACATGTACAAATATGGATGACAGTTAACTAAGTTATCAGCATACTATTTATATCCTTTAACCTGAAGTGTGACTTGTGATGCCAACACACTGTAATTATTTGGATCTTGTATCAGCCTCTACTAAATAGTTATACATCAATATTTCTCAGGTCCCAAAAGGGACTCTGGTGTTAAATTCATTGATTTATTTAATGTTTTTAGCTCTACGTGTCAACGACCACAAGAGCCAGGATGATAGGATGTTATATGTGTGATATAAATGTTTATTATCAAAACCTGCTTTAGGGTTATATAGTTTCATCTATGGATGAATTTGTTTTTAGCTCACCTGAGTTTCCATGGTTACAATGAATAAGTATATCTTTGATTATTTTTAAATGCTACTCCTCCTACAGTTTAAATAATTCCAATTTCAGTATAACTTGGCACACATGTAGATTGCTCTTAGCAACATAATTTTTATTTAATACATGTATCAATTTTGATTTCAATGAATTCTGTTGCAATGAAACTTAAAATAGAAATTTCTGTAAAGTATATTAAACAAGATGTGTTTGTGAAACACTATGCGCCCGGCGGCAACAAAGTTCGGAAAAGGTTATTTTCAGCATTAAGATCACAGTCAAGGTCACAAGGTCATTAACCGTGGTGTCATTTGAAAGAACCTGTCAGAGTAGTGGAGTACGCGTACCAAATATGAAGTCTCTTTCTTTCATGGTTCAAAAGTTATGGCGAAGGTTAAAGTTTGCAGAAAAAAGCTATTTGTAGCATATAGGCCACAGTTAAGCTCACAAGGTCATTGACCTTGGTGTCATTTGAAAGAGCTTAATTAGTGGAGTATGCATACCAAATATGAAGTCTCTATCTTTCATGGTTCAAAAGTTATGGTGAAGGTTAAAGTTCGAGACAAACAAACAAACAGACAGACAGACAGGACAAAAAAATATACGCCCTGGATCTATCGATCAAGGCACATAAAAAAGCTAATTTTGCCACAGTTTTAGTCAGTGATTGAAATGTATCTTACCTCAAAAGGAGATTAAACCAAGGACTTTTAATATTCTTCTTTATATATTTTTGCAAAGTTTTAAGTTCAAATGCAACTTTTCTCTAGATCTCATAAGTATCACCAGTGAGATTGCTGCCATTTCACTTTTGATAACCTTTTACATATCTAACAACATTCTATATTCTTATATTTGATTTACTTTCATGTTTCCATTTCTTATATGAATTCTTTTTATAAGAACATCAATTTTAGCAGTCCTGATTAATTATTTGTGAAACATTTCCAAGCCATAGTTTACTTCTTAATCCCCAGGGATATTTAGGATTTCACAGTAATTGTCAATCTTTATTGTCAGGACCCTTTTTATTGCACTGGTCACTCATAGGTGTTAAGCAAATTAAATATCACCCCCCTTGACTCCCTAACATCAAAGGATGGCACCTTTATCAGTCAATTGTAGAATTAGTTATCAATGAGATTGTATCCTTAGGCCATATCTTTTTTTAAAGAAAGAATTCAGTCTGAAAACTGGTTGATTTTTTTTCTTCTGAAGTATAGCTAAGCTATACCACCCCCATCTCCTCTGAGGTAGGTTTGCACGACTTTTTTATGTAAACTTTTCAATACTGAACTGGTTTCTAACCTTTCCTTGCAAAAGAATTCAGGTGAGCAATGTGGCTCAGGGGTCTCTTGTTGAAATTATCAAAAAAATTGTTCAACCTCAATTTTGAATATCCGTAATTTCCGCCATTGAGATTATTGAATTAGATGCTTTTTAACTCTGGTGATTTTTTTATATCATTGACAATTGTTTTTTCCATTGTGACTTTTGTCATGGTCTTTGGTGTTGAAAACTTTTCACATGGGTCAGTTGCAACTTAACTTTGTCTCAAAGCCTCCTTAGGCGAAGGAATTTATCCAAGTTTATATTCATGAAGAACGTGCATGACCTGACAGGGATGGATTCAATAGAAACTTCTGTCAGTTTGATATTTTCCATACTTCTGAAAGTATAGCAAGCATATTTAGAAAAGCACTTAAAGGTCAAATTAAGTTCAATTACGATAACACATACAGATGATTTACCAAATCATGTGACACAGAAAATAAAAACATTGGGAAAATTATTCCATATTTAATTAAGGAATAATTGTCAACTTCTTTGGTTTTTCGATGTGATCAATCAGATTGCCAAGGACTTTTATGCATAAAATCATCACAGGAGCAAACTCTCTTTTTTTATATATTTGTTTATTTCGGATTTCCGTTCGGTTTGTAATTGACCATTTTAACTCACCTGTTATCGTGAAAACGTCTTTGATACTTTAGAGTAACAGTCGTAACAAAAGTAACAATTTCGAAACTTTTAAGGATTAGTCACTCCTTGCATCAAGTCGCGTTGATTCCTGCAATCAGTTTGAAAAAAAAAATTAAACACAGTTTTTTCATACCCGATATACAAACACATGTGACTACCTACTAATATATATGTTTATAGAATATAGTGAACCCCCTTTCTCAGTTAAAATTAAATTATTGGTCTTGTGTTGACATTCTGTGTTCTTTATTTTCATTCAGTTTTTCAAATTAACATTTGATAACTACGAAAGCCCATTTGGCTCATTTTCGTTGGTTAAAAAAAGCAAGTTTTTGCGTTATAACGCGAATCTTTCGCGTTTTAACGCATAACTTTCGCTTTATAACGCGAAAACTTCGCGTTTTTTTCGCGAAATAATATGCATATATTAATGCTACTGAGGAACCCTGATCTTGACTGACAGATAAGAACATGAACGCAGACGAGAAAAGCAAAAGACTATTTTAATCTGGTACTTTCACAGGCTACAGTTTTATGTTTTCATTATAATGAATAAGCTTGATCACAAAATCAAAAGAAAGTTGAGACTTATGCAAATGTCTTGGTAAAACAGCAAAAGTTTCACGTTATAACGAAAAAGTTACCCGTTTATTCGCGAAAGTTTCGCGTTATAACGCGAAGAATTTATATTTTCAACCTACAAAAATGAGCTCAGTGGGGTTTCGTAGATAAAATATGACATAAAGAATGAGAAAAAAAAACTCTCACTCTCCGAAGGAGGTTAGGAGTGCATCATTTTACACAACGAAAAATCCTAGCGTATACGTAAGCAACAAATAAACGAAAGAACGGAAGGGGCGGGGTCAATTAGCAAATGTCATTCGAGTCGGGAATACAAAGATTGGCTATAACTTTAAATATTTCCTGTGTCTTTTCCTTTTTTCCCCTTATTAACTATTTATTTTTATTTCTTTTTTTCTGTTATGTGTTTTTTTTTTTCATAATAGGGGGTCGCAGTCATAACCACCCATTTTAGCCACCTTTCTTCCCCCTGCCATCTAAATTGTTAAACAAGTTTTTCTATTTTTCCAAAATGATACGGATATTTTTGACTCCTTTCTCTTACTGCAGCGATTGTATACATTGTACATATGGTTTAACGTACACACCCCTATATTTACATGGTATGACAACCGGTTCATCTGTTATTCTTGGACAGTATGTATAATTTGTTCCATATGACAGTCAATGTCGTTGTTTTGGAATAACGCCGACCGCTCGGTTATGTACACGGTTCTTTTTGCTCTTCTTCCTTAATCCTGATTCCTGACTTTATTATAAAAAGTGTAACAGTTTTTGTTGTACACGGTTCTTTTTGCTCTTCTTCCTTAATCCTGATTCCTGACTTTATTATAAAAAGTGTAACAGTTTTTGTTGTACACGGTTCTTTTTGCTCTTCTTCCTTAATCCTGATTCCTGACTTTATTATAAAAAGTGTAACAGTTTTTGTTGTACACGGTTCTTTTTGCTCTTCTTCCTTAATCCTGATTCCTGACTTTATTATAAAAAGTGTAACAGTTTTTGTTGTACACGGTTCTTTTTGCTCTTCTTCCTTAATCCTGATTCCTGACTTTATTATAAAAAGTGTAACAGTTTTTGTTGTACACGGTTCTTTTTGCTCTTCTTCCTTAATCCTGATTCCTGACTTTATTATAAAAAGTGTAACAGTTTTTGTTGTACACGGTTCTTTTTGCTCTTCTTCCTTAATCCTGATTCCTGACTTTATTATAAAAAGTGTAACAGTTTTTGTTGCTAAATGAAATAGTTTTAACGTAGGCCCTGTCTACCTGCATGACCTGAGGCATAAGGTCACACTAACCGGATTAAATGTGCAGGTTTTTTTTTCTGTTTTGGTTTGTAGGATCGAAATTTAAATGATAAAAGGAAAAGCGAAAATATATAACCATGCGCCCTGTATTCATTTTATATTCACCACCTATATGAAATTTCTCTGTTTTTTGCAAACCCACATGCATGCATAAATCATTCGATCATTATACATGTATATACGACTTCTTTTAAAATATTTACATTTCCAATGTCTTTGTCCGAGATAAAATTACCAATTGTAAATGTAATTTATTTCCTCATGAATGTCTTGGCGCGGTTCCAAAAAAAAACCACGTGCAGGGCGGGACAACACCTAGAGAGAAGCAGGCTTGGAGCCCGTGGATTGGCGGAATCAAAGCATGTAAATATAAGGAATAACTGTCAGATTTTTCGAATTCATGAAGATGATCAATGGGTTGGCTTGTGTGATAATTTTATGCATAAACGCCTTCATGAATTCGAAAAATAAGACAGTTATTCCTTAAATAAATATTGAAAAGTACGCGCACCTGATAGTACAAATAGTCCACAAAAACCTCTACCTCTCTCTCTCTCTCTCTCTCTCACTGTAAATTTACACTTATCTGTTAATGTATTTTGAGGGTTTTCCCAGTAAACTGCTGAATTCAGTAAAATTGAATAATAATCATTGCTAGTCATAATAAGCAAGAACGTCGACCTCTATCCTAACCCCTAAATATCAAGACGAAAAAAGGACCCCAAAAAAAAACGAACAACAAAATTATAATTGTGGTAATCTGCATATTCAAAATCAATCGATTCTTCAAATTTTATGATCTGTGAAAAACACAATGAAAAGGCGACAAAGTTATATATCATAGTTGCATTCGTTGGAGAAAAAAACTGTAGAGTGTCTTGAAAAAAAGTCATGCCGATTCTATACTTATTACTCAACACCTTGTGAAAAAAAGATTTTTTATCTTTAAAGTTTAAAGATATTAGAAAACTGACTCTCAGAGGGAAAGAGGGGTTTGAAATAAAGGAGAGGAGAGGCGTGAATGTGTTATAATTTTACAATGTACCGAGGCCCGATAAGATCCGCCCTACACGGTTGGGAGGAAAAAAAATATTGGATCCCTGTTACACAATGACCTGCTTGTGACCCCCCAGTAGTACAGATGGTGGCCTTCCCTGTGGCCTTGAATAGTGCTAAGTGTTTGCCTAAACCTTACTGATCCGTGGTTAAAAGAGTTTGGATTTCATTTTTTATCTGCAGATAATGTATTACATATAGGTATAAAAAGAACTGTGCCACCCTGATGCGTGGAAAGAGGAAGCGACCTAGCGGTATGGTAAGATTTTTTTTTTTTGTTTCGGTTTTAATGGATTACACACATGCTGAAAAACAGCTGATCGTCGTGCCTTCATTGTTGTATTTGCTATAGGATGTGTAATGACAAAGCAATGGCTTTGTGCAAGTACTGTAAACGTTATATGCAAATTGTTTATGAGATAATCCTTTACCATTGAATTTTTTTTAAACATATTTAGCTACCGATATTATGTATCTGACGAAAATCGGAGGGGGATATATAGATAGAGAGATATGAAGGCACTTATCTTGATTGCCGAGGCGCATGCACTACATAGTGGTCATTGGTCAACATTTAAATTTCCTCCTTTCTTTGCTAAGAGGGCAATACACCGGTCAAGGCGTTCTGATATTTACATGCGTGTGGCGATCGATTCTATAAGGATTAATTTATATCAGCAGTAAAACATGTATATTTATGTGTATTATAGACACAAAGCTGACAACAATTGACCACAGACCGGAGGAGATCAAAGGAGGACAGGGAAATCGAGGTATATTTATAAATGTATAAATGCTGACCAAGGGTTAAGAGCAGCGGCATATGTCGCCAGATTTGATCGGGGATAAGCAGGTTGACAGAAGTATTGATTTGCATACAGTGTTATATCAGCTGATGAAACAAAGAATTTTAATGCAAGGATGTATTTCCGTGAGTGTGTTAAATTTATCTCTTATTTTTGACACTTTAGTGGTGTGAAATTTACTTTTATATTATCAAACATGTATTGGTCAATGCCTTGTTTGTTCTTCTGTTGTCCTTTTAAAGAGTTTTAAAATAGTGGCCAATTTCACGTTAGGAAGATATATTCTTTATACGGTAAGACTTAGGATATACGTTATTGAATAGTTCTGTGTAGTGCGATAAATTGTCGATTTTATAATTTCTTTTTCAGTTTTAGTTTTGTTTGAATGCTCGTGCTTTAGATGTAGTGACTCCTATATATTTATTATTACTGCTCAATATAGACCCCTCCCCCCGAAAAAGCAACAAAAAAAAAAAGATGCGAGGAGTGTGGATCATTATGTTGCAGTTTCAAAACTTGGAAAAAATAAAGTTTTGAGAACGTATGAGGGTCGTTGTTGCAAAACAGCTGAACAAAGACATATAAATTAACAAAGAAATTAAACGTGCAAAGACTGTTTTAAAGACAGAGATAATTGAGATTTTAAGGTAAATTTTATTTGCTTTGAAAAGGAATTAATTACATGTATGTCAAACTTGCATTTTTTTGTGTAACATTCTGTACATTTGTTTGCAAGGGTTTCCACTGTCAAAGGGGGGGGGGGGGGGGGGGTGTTGATGCGCCGATGGTATATTGGCTTCTGTTTCATTTTAAGGTAGAATAATAACAAATACAAATTGTAATCCTAATTTACCTTGGCTTTTCCTTTGGCAAACAGGATGAATTGGCCACCCTTTCGTTTGTGTAGGGCACTAATAAATGTGAATGTTCGATAGTTTATATAAATAACGTATTTAGCATGTTTAGCGGGACAAATCTTCTGTATACACATTCTTATACATGTATTAAGATTCTTTTGATGCAGTAAACCGTTCATTCAACTTAATTAATCAGCAGGTTGAATTTCAAGTTTAATGGAAATTATGCCTGCAATACACGATTTAGGGAATTTATTCTAAGGTGAAGGTCAAGTGCGTTAGTTGATTTAAATGGCATGACATAACGATGCTGTTCACCTACCTTTTATGGACCTTTAATTTGACCTACCTGTAAATCGGCCTTGGTGTCTTTGTTTATTATTCATGCAAGGAAAATTTTAAATCACATTTTTAAAAAAATAAAGTATATGTATGTTAGATACACTTTCGTTTAATCACGGAATTTTATCATGGAAGTAAGGCACATGGTCGAAAAGTATTAATTATCTATTTCATTACGGAAAAACTAACACATCCACCTACCCTTGCACGCAATACATCGATCGTTATACCTATGGTCAGAAGTGGGTCGTCGCCCTTGGCTATAAAGCAAAGATGACACGCAATAATTCATACTGCATTTCATTTTCCTGAAACTTAAAGTTAAGACGCTTCTGTGTATTAAAAAAATCTCGTAAAATATTTAGGAAATATCAATTAGTCTAAGGTTTATAAACCTTTATGGACATTGAGTGTTTCCTGTTTGGTAGTACCCCCCCCCCCCCCTCTATGAGAAGAAATGACATGGCCGTGCTGACCCCCTTTTTGTTGCAGTGAATTATCAGCCGAAAATGAGAGAGGCAAATGTGCCCTCTCTTCACATATATTTCTTCCCCAATTTTATATTATTTTTGAAAGACTGCCCTTTTCGGCTCAATTGTTGAACGACATGTTATTTCTGACTTCGATAAAATTTTGTCGATATTGGGGTTCAGTAAAGTGACCTTGAACTCCCGACCCCCGAAAAGGGGGTTGGTCTGAAACTTCACTACCTGACTAGAATTATTTTTTTTAAACACACATTTACATGTAGAATATTACAGAGGCTAAAAGCGCATGACTAGAACACATGTTGCAGAGTTCATAGGTATATTTTGACACATTTGACACATTAGAATTAAAATAGATGTATTGTTATTGTCATTAAAAATTATTGTTGGACAGATATTTCTGTTTAATAAAAAATATTTCTGATAAGAATTTAAGGTGTCACTCAGAATGTCATTCACGAAATTATTCACACCTTTTTTTTAAAGCTGTGATAAATAATTGATCATATATCGCGGACTGACAAATGAATAAATATATTTTATACATATACATATTGTACTGTTATGTTTTATATGTATGTAGAATAGAAAGTCGCTGAAATTTTTCAAGCTAACAACAATTTTACGTTCACTTTTTTCCGTGTACTATTATTTATCTTGCAAGAGTGATTTCATTGGTTTCCACACAACACCCTTAACCTGTAAAATGAACACTTCAGCAGTAATTTGAATTTTATGAGAGGTCAGGGTCGGGTTTATAAGGAAAGACGTTATAAATGTTGTTTACCATGTCCATATATATAGCATGTAAAATATTTGTTACCTGGAACAATATAGAAAAAAAATTTAGGATGTAAAAAAAAATATAGCGTAATATTAATCGGAAGCGTATTAGGTTGACAATTCACTTCTTTTTAACTACACTTTAAAGTAAAACAGATAAAAGTGTAAATTTTCTCTCTGTAAATTTTACACTTTAATCTGTAAATTTTACACTTTAATCTGTAAAAATTTAAAATCTGTGAATTTTACACTTTAATCTGTAAATTTTACACTTTAAAGTGTAAATTTCTACACTTTAATCTGTAAATTTGACACTTTAATCTGTAAAATTTACACTTTAAAGTGTCAAATTTACACTTTGATCAGTAAATTTTACACTTTAAACTGTAAATTTTACACTTTAATCTGTAAATTTTACACTTTAATCTGTAAATTTTACACTTTAATCTGTAAAATTTACACTTTAATCTGTAAAATTTACACTTTAAAGTGTAAATTTTACACTTTAATCTGTAAATTTTACACTTTAAAGTGTAAATTTTACACTTTAATCTGTAAATTTTACACATTAATCTGTAAATTTTACACATTAATCTGTAAATTTTACACTTTAAAGTGTAAATTTTACACTTTAAAGTGTAAATTTTACACTTTAATCTGTAAAATTTACACTTTATTCTGAACAACCTGAACTGCAATAGGTAATGATTGAACGGTCGATTTGAGATGTTTTACCTCTGGCACTTGAGAAAAAGTATTAAACTTAAATGTTTACAATTATTTGTATATTTTTATTTTGCATGTACTCGTACTTGTTTATTAGTCAATGAAAAACAAGGAGGGTCTATTTCCTCATGGGTCTTGTAATTTTCCCCAGCATAAGAAATCAGGGATCTGCTTTTGTTTCAGTATATATACATGTGTTTCTTTAGTTTTACTATAGTGTAACGAAAAGTAAAAATATATATCTCAATTTTTTTTTATTTGCAGTTCAGATTGATATTACGCTTCCGTAATTATCTTGCATGATTAACGGTCTGTTGGCTTTAAAATGCGTTACTGGGAATGTGTGAAGTTGCTAAATTGACTATGTGAATAAACAAATAAAGTGTAAAATTTACACATTAAAGTGTAAAATTTACAGATAAATGTGTAAAATTTACACTTTAATCTGTAAATTTTACACTTTAAAGTGTAAAATTTACACTTTAAAGTGCAAAATGTACACTTTAAAGTGAAAAATGTACACTTTAAAGTGTAAAATTTACAGATTAATGTGTAAAATTTACAGATTAAAGTGTAAAATTTACAGATTAAAGTGTAAAATTTTCACTTTAAAGTGTAAATTTTACAGATTAAAGTGTAGAAATTAAAAAAAAGTGAAGTGTCAAAGTGGCACTAATACGCTTCCGTACGCTAAGGTTGACAAAAAGAAACAAATAAATTTTCTCTCTGAAACTTCGGTGTTAAAAAAATCTGGTCACATGATTCATGTGCCAATAGAGTGCAATGGTGCCAAAGATGTGATAATCCTAATTAAAACATCACTTGGATTTAGTGTAGAAAGATAACCAGTCAATCTTTTCAAATTCGGGCGCAATTTAAAACAACAGGCCTAGGGGCCACAGCGCTCACCTGAGCACATCGGGCTTGAATTTACTCCCCTCTCCAGGCGTTCATCATTTGAACAAACTAGAATCTACACTACCTGAGGATGATTCCATATAAATATCACTAATCATAGCTTTGAAGTACTTGAAAGAAGATTTTAAAAGGTTTCCCTATATATCCCTATGTAAAACTTGGGTCGGCCATTTTGGCCCCACCCTAGCCACGAGTGTCATGATTTGAACAAACTTGAATCTACACTACCTGAGGATACTTCCACATGAGTTTCATCTTTCCTGGCCCAGTGGATCTTCAGAAGGATTTTTAAAGATATTTCCTATATATTCCTATGTAAAATCGGCCATTTTGGCCCCACCCTTGCCCCGGGGGTCATGATTTGAACAAACTTGAATCTACACTACCTGAGGATGATTCCACATGAGTTTCATCTTTCCTGTCCTAGTGGTTCTTGAGAAGAAGATTTTTAAAGATTTTTCCTATATATTCCTATGTAAAACTTGGGTCGGCCATTTTGGCCCCACCCTTGCCCCGGGGGTCATGATTTGAACAAACTTGAATCTACACTACCTGAGGATGATTCCACATGAGTTTCATCTTTCCTGGCCCAGTGGTTCTGGAGAAGAAGATTTTTAAAGATTTTTCTTATATATTCCTATGTAAAATCAGCCATTTTGGCCCCACCCTTGCCCCAAGGGTCATGATTTGAATAAACTTGAATCTACACTACCTGAGGATGCTTCCACATGAGTTTCATCTTTCCTGTCCTAGTGGTTCTTGAGAAGAAGATTTTTAAAAATTTTTCCTATATATTCCTATGTAAAACTAGGGTCGGCCATTTTGGCCCCACCCTTGCCCCGTGGGTCATGATTTGAACAAACTTGAATCTACACTACCTGAGGATGATTCCACATGAGTTTCATCTTTCCTGGCCCAGTGGTTCTAGAGAAGAAGATTTTTAAAAATTTTTCCTATATATTCCTATGTAAAACTAGGGTCGGCCATTTTGGCCCCACCCTTGCCCCGTGGGTCATGATTTGAACAAACTTGAATCTACACTACCTGAGGATGATTCCACATGAGTTTCATCTTTCCTGGCCCAGTGGTTCTGGAGAAGAAGATTTTTAAAGATTTTTCCTATATATTCCTCTGTAAAATTTGGGTCGGCCATTTTGGCCCCACCCTTGCCTCGGGGGTCATGATTTGAACAAACTTGAATCTACACTACCTGAGGATGCTTCCACATGAGTTTCATCTTTCCTGGCCCATCGGTTCTGGAGAAGAAGATTTTTTAAAAATGCCATTAATTTTTAACAAATTTATGATTATCTCCCCTTGGAAAAGGGCGTGGCCCTTCATTTGAACAAACTTGAATCCCCTTCACCCAAGGATACTTTGTGGCAAGTTTGGTTGGAATCGGCCCATTGGTTCTTGAGAAGAAGATGAAAATGTGAAAAATTTACGACAACAACGACAACAACAACGACAACGACAGACGACGGACAAATTTTGATCAGAAAAGCTCACTTGAGCCTTCGGCTCAGGTGAGCTAAAAAAGGGGGGAGTTTACATAAAAATAGGTGACTGAAAGACAATCGAATAAATCGCACATTATTTATAATGTCAAAAGACTTAAGTCTTATACTCAGTAAATATAATAATCCACTGCTCTAGAATTTAAATCTACTCACAGACGTTCATTTATGATCCCAATACATGAAGCTCGTTCAGCTTGAATTTCAAAGTGAACGTAACCATAGACTTATAATTATGTAATTTTAATTCCATAAATAAAATAATCCCAACCTTTGTTTTAGGAAATTAATGAGGATCTGGTGACGGAATTTAGTTTATCTTCAAATAGTCATGTCTTTTTATCTATAAAAAAGATATTACATACATCATATCCTTATGAAGTGGGGGGGGGGTACGAACATGATAAGCATGAAACTCTTTATAGAATTGATGATCTTTGAATTGAATATCAATATTATAGTTTGTATTTCATATTAGTATGTAATATTTGATCCATAAAGTGGTAATATTCTTTGTATTTGGTTATACTTTGTGGTGATACAGGTTAGCAGTGTTACCCATAGCCCTCTTGTTGAAATTAAATGAGAAAAGTGTTGTTCACAGGTAGATTAACTAATTAGTTACATAATAAATTATAGTGGTGACCTTTATTCTGTCAAGCATGTCAAAATTAATTTAAAGAAAAACTGTAGAATTATTTGTGATATACAAATACCCATTTTCAGTAATGACTATATAAGGTACTTAGTAATCTTCTCCGGTACTGTGATTCCCTTGGTACATTAGGTACAGGTAAGTCTTCAGAGTACAAAGAGACTTTTTAAAAGTGATATTACAACACTGAAGTAACAGCAATGATCACTAATTATTGCAGAATTCATGTACATGTATTAAGTAGGCAGTCTGCACAACAGGATATTCCTATAATATTATATATTTGTCATATTGATTTTTGTTCTTGTATTAAATCAAATTATGATCTACAGTTTAAGCATCGTCATAAGTTCAGTGATTTATAGAACAGGGATACTGATGGCTTATATTTGTCTATACAGGATGACGGACACACTGGATAACTTGGACCTAGCCATGGACTATCTGACAACGGAGGATGACCAGTATCGGACTGTGACCAGTCTCAGCTCCTATATCAGTACGCTCGATCTGGACGATATGGCGGGCCGAGTCACAGGAGGAATACTCAAGTTTGAGTTTGATGGAGGATCAAATTGTGATAAGGTGTGCTTTACAAATCTCAAATATATTCTTAGAAAATTATAGTTTTTTTTCACTTCAAACATATGTTTAATTTTTATACAAATTATTAAAATGTAAATTAAATATAAATTGATCTTCAAATTGCATGAAAATCAGAATTCTTAGTCCAGGTGTATAAAATGAAAATTAAAGAAAATTAGGATTATGGAAGCATGTACATGATATAATTTTGGTGAATCATTTGAAGAAGAGTTATCTCCCTTGTTTCAGCCCCACCAGAGTTACTTTGTCACACTCAATGAAGATTCCTCCATGGATAACCTGGCTAAGTACATGTCTAAGATCTGGAGGAAGCGCACCCCAGACATCATCCTCTCTGTCATTTCCAGCATCACTCACTTCAAGACATGGGAAGATCTAGCACAGGTGGAGGACTTCCAGGCTGGTCTCACACAGGTATGTAGGAGTATTAACACAGGTGGAAGACTTCCAGGCTGGTCTCGCACAGGTATGTAGGAGTATTAACACAGGTGGAGGACTTCCAGGCTGGTCATTGCCTGTGTGGTAGAGCGTCTGCTCTAGAGTTGCGAAGTAAGGAGTTGATTGTTTACGTCGTGGGTTCGAATCCCACTGTGGGATTGTGGAGAACGGTCCTTTGGATGTGACGGTGTAGTTATTTAGGAGTAGAAGCAAACCCCTGCCCCAAAAAGTGATTAAGTTCAGCTTATGAAACAAATTATTATTCTAGAGATAGACTTTTTGTGTACCTTCTTCTTAGAACTTTATTAGAATTCCATGTAATTATATCTTTTTTTTAAACATGGTACACTACAAGTAGGTAAGTTCTTGTATTTCTTTTGCATTGAGTAAACTTCATTCGGGGATTTTCTGTTTTCAATAACATTTTACTTAATTTTATTCACTTCTAGCCTTTAGTTTTTGGTCCTAAGTGGGTTTTTATAGGCTTCAGGGAAATACACTAGTTGTAAGGTAGAAATTTTCCCATTTCTGGAGTCATAATTATCATTATCATAAAATCGATGCCAATATATACAATGCCTACACAAAAAGTTTGTCAAAAACACATACAAAAGGTCTAGGTTTAAAAAAAAAAATCCTGCTACCTGGAAAAATGTGAAATTTCAAGTTGCTTTGAACAGTCGACCACGGGGGTGGCATTCTGCTAGGGCAGTTGCATCTATCATCTAAGGGTTTTTGTTTTTTAGAGACCCTTTATAACATTTATCAAGAAGCTCATAAATGACAGAGGTGTAAGCTCAATACTTTGATTTATTAAAAACAACTCATGATGTATGAGAGACCAAGACAATGTGGTAAACAGTTCATGGACATGGCAGGGCCTGGATCATGATTTACTAAGAGTTTTTTATTTACTATAAACCCTGTAGGCTTTTGTAATGTATGATGTATAGGAAAATGACTGGCTGTTATGTAGACAGTGTGCATGATATGATTATGTGAGAAATCATACTTTACCCCATAGAAAAAAAAAATCCATTACGAAATTTGGAGAAAACATAAATATTTTGATTACATCAAATTAATTTTATGAAGAGAATAAGTATAATATTTTTTATCAATGAATAAAATTTTATTTAAAATTCCACTGAATCCTCAAGGGCTTTGTTTACAAGGATTGCTCAACACCATTGATTTTTTTGCTTATTCGGCAATTATGGTATGCACTTACAACTTCAGGGACATATTTTGTAAATTTTGCCTTCAGAGCTCTAGCTGCATTATAGTTTAAATAAAAACTTCACGCACAGTTACACTATATATTAGAATCTGTTGATTGATGACTCAAGTCTGACATAAAAAGTTTTTATCTGACACACATCTTCACACACAAGGGGCTCATTGTTTAGGTTTTTTTAAAGTAAAATAATTGAAAAACACTGTTTACGCAGTTAAAAATCCACATAACTGTCTTATCATAAAAGTAAGGTTATGTGATTTGAAATGGATAAGCATCAGTATCTGCATATATATTACTTTTTTTTGTCCATCAATGTACCTTTAAGCTAATACGTTCATATAAATGAATTGTACAGTACTAAATGATATCATTATATACTGCAGGAGTGGAAATTTTTTTGTTTGTTTGTTTGTTTTTTTTTTGTTTTGGAATTAGTTTTTCACTCAAAAGAAGCTATTAAACAGCAATTTATGATGACAGGTACACTTTGATGTAAATATTGCCAATCTTCTAAACAATATATGACAATAACAATAATCAAGCATGATTTATAGATTATTAAATGCTCATTATTATATTTTAAATTTGTATTCAGGCTCTGAACACAACCAACATGTGGGTGTTGACTAACGGTCTGGACGGAGGTATATCTAGAATCGTGGGAGATGCCCTTCACAACGAACACGAACGTCGCTATATCCTGCTCTCTCGAGCCAACACGACGTATGGAAAAATAGCCAACTCCGCTCACGTGGATGAACTGACCAAACTGACGGTCATTGGAATTGTCCGGAAGAATGCTCTATCTTATGGAAGTGATATAGCCACAAATGTAAGCCTGGTATCCCACATCTCTTATTTTGTTACAGGTCATGAAATCAGATGGAAAAATATGCATAAAACACTTCACCTTTATAACTACAATGACATATTTCCCATGCTTAAGACATAAAAAACAATATTCAATAACAAAAGAAAATTGTAAAATCAGTATCGAGTTGAACTTTGGTATTGATCATGTACTAGTTTAGCATTATATATTTCTAACTATTGACTGACTTTCCCTTAAATATCAATTTCAGCATGATGTTGTAGTCCAGTTGAAGAACAAAGGACTGAGAGCCAAGCGGCACGCCTCTGAGCTGAATGCGGAGCACTCTCACTTCATTCTGTTAGAGGGGATAGAGGACCAGAGAGATAACATGTCCCTGAGATACAAAATCGAGGAAAGACTCCTCACTCCGATTGGACGAGGCAAAAGATATCGAAAACTCAACCTCAGCGATCCAGCACTAAGTAGGTGTAACAAAAATAGTCCTGTGTTTATTCGGTAATTGTTTGGGTCATAAATATTAACCTGGGTAGTTCAGTTAGTAGAGCCTCTGACTTAAAAAATGATGCAGGTATCCGAGGTTTGATTCCCAGTCCAGCCATACATTTTCTCCTTTTCTGTTGCAATGCCATGTACCATGGTATAGAATGATACACTGCATCCTTATATATATCATTGTCCTAGTGTTCTTGTTATCAATTAATTCTTGTCTTTATCTGATTACCTTTACAGATCTAGAGGATGCTTCATTTCTCCACAATCACTCAGATATTATCAGCGGTACATGTACCCCTATGGTGGGATTACTGATACAGGGTGGACCTATCGACATCGAACATGTTGTGGATCTTCTAAGGAAAAGAGTTCCTGTCCTTGTAGTCAAGGGATCAGGACTGGCAGCTGATCTTGTTGCATTTGTGTTCAACGAAAAAATTTTATAGTGAGTTTGAAGATGCAAAATTTTATTTCTTTTTTAAGAGTTATGTCCCCTATCTTTAAATTGCATCTTCTATGCTGCTTTTCTACCATTCGTGCTTTTCCCCTCATGAAAAATTTAAGTGTAATTTGAAATACTTTAATCTAATTACAGCCCGGGAGATGAGCATGACTCTTTCCTGAAACAGGAGCTGATTAAGAGGATGTTGGTGTGCTACCCTAACGATTTCCAGGACGATGAACCGGCCAGGAATCACTGCCGAGACTTAATCATCGAGTGTGCCAGTCTGGCACTCCAGGTAAATCATTTACTGATCAGAGAATATGCTTTAATACCCCAAATGACTTTACCCCATTAAATACACAGACTTGTTCCTATTATGCATCCATCCCAACAAGCATAAAGTGAAAGTGTGTTTTTGGGGTTGTCTGTACTTGTAGTAGCAATTATAGACTGAATTGTCTAATACTTGATAAAATTCTTTTTTTTATTTGGATTTTATCCAATTTTTTTTTTCAGGACAACCGAAAGTGCATTACCATTCTGGATATTGAGAATGATCCATCTGCCCTCAAAAATCTGGACAAGTACATCCTTCTGGCCTTGTTTGAATGTAATTATTTACACAAAATTAAGGATTAGTAAACAGAGTATATATAGCTAGAGAATTTCATTTTTAAAAAAAATAAAGGATAAGATATTTTAAAATATTGAGGAGAAAACCTTATTTCCAATAAACAACTGGAACTTTTAGTGTTTATCATTTGAAACAAATGTATAATAAATATATATATGAAAAAAACAACAAACAAACAAAAACAAAAGTTGAAGCCCCTAATTATTGGTGAGTTTTTATATTTAGCTCAAGGTACAACCATTGCACATACTGAAATGAAATTTGGTATACAGATATATCACATGAATATCTTTCTGTTTTCGGACTTGAACCATTTTTGTATGCCCCTGGAGAAAAATGTGATTCTTTGCAGTTTCCATATTTTCTTCAAAACCATTGGAAATGAGATGAAATTTAGCCAATACAGATATATCACATAAATATCTGGGTCAAGTTCTGTTTTGGGTATGATCGCACCACTTTTCACAGAGTTATGCCCCTTGGACTTAGAAAAATTTCAATTATTTGCAGTTTCTGTTCATTTTCTTCACAACCGTTGCACATACTAAGATGAAATTTAGTATACAGATTAATCAGGTGAATTTTAGGCCAAGTTCTGTTTTGATTCACCATTTTTCACAGTTTGCTTAGAAAAATTTCAATTCTTTGAATTTTCTTCAAAACCATTGCACATATTGAGATGAAATTTAGTATACAGATTAAAAAATATCAAAATAAATGCAATATTACCACCAATTTGTTTGAGTTATGTCCCTTGGACTTAGAAAAAAATTATTTGCAGTTTCTAACACAGAGAACTGTTGCACATACTGATATAAAATTTAGTATAAAGATTTATCAGATGTATATGCTGAATTGTTCTATGTACTATCAGAGCATTTTTGACGAGTTTTGCCACTTGGGCTGGAAAAATTCCAATTTGGGGAGAAGTTGTTTTACAAACATCTCTTGTTATATTTAGCTCAAGGTACAAAGCAGGGGGTCCAGTTTGAGGAACAGTTTCAGTCGGACTTGAAGCTTTGTATGGACTGGAATAGATGTGATTTAGCTGAGTCTCGCATATTTAGGAAATATGCCTGGAAATCTATAAAGGTAGCCAATGTTTTCTATATTTCTCATGTAAAACTGCACCATTCTTTTATAATTATATAGGGTCATTTCACTGTTGAGTTTTTGTATTATTTTCTTTGATTCTCATACAGTTTGCTTTCTGAATTTTCTTAATAATTGTCACAAAGATATTAGGATCTAGAAAAAAAAAATCAAAATAAATACAACATCACCAAATTAGTTTGAATTCATGATGAATAAAATACCAGTATTAACACAGAGAATGTGACCATTGAGTAAAGCCAATATGCCTTGTATTGCTGAATTGTACAGATTACTCCCGAGCTGTTTGATCCAAATCTTGTAAAACTGAACTGGCTATTTCTGGAGAGAGGACGGTGTATCCACGACCTCTACCTCAACCACATCAAACTGCTGTATCTGTGACAAAGGACCAACTGGAAAAAAGGTAGACATTCTTCTGTCACGTCTGCCTACATGTATAAGTACAAAATGTATTGCTATGATTTCATCATTTCAATGTATTTCTTACATTTTCCTAATAAAGCATTGCTGGTCCTTTTTACAAATCACATGAACAATAATTGTTTTGCTAGGGAACCTGTTACCCAGTGGATAAGTATTTCCTGATGGACAAAAACATTAGAATCTACTACTCCACACAAATCTAAGGGTGTGTATCAAACTGACAGGCTTAGTGTCCGGAATCTTTATTATGGTATCATTTCACACAAAGATTGCCCATGACCCAAGGGTGTGTCATGATCTCAAGGTCATTTGGGGAAGTTCAAGGTCACTGGGAGAAAAATTTCAAAATTCATGTGTGACATATATCTTTTATGGATAAACTGTGACAAAGATTGCCCATGACCCAATGTGTCATGACCTTGACCCAAGGTCATTTGGGGAAGGTAGAAAAATTTCATAATTCTTATTGATAAACTTGGTAGGTTCTTATTTTACTCAAAGATTGCCTATGACCCAAGGGTGTGTCATGACCTTGACCCAATTTCATTTGGGAAGTTCATGCTCACTGGAAGAAAAATTTTATAATTCGTGTATTGCTATGCAAAAATTTCAAGTTTATGATGTCATAGTTGTTTCTGAATTTGAAATGTACACATGATTTGAGCATCCTTTGTTATTTCTAGGCCCTCTTGGCCCTGATTTATTGGGGTACCCTCACTAACAACCACAAGCAGGTGAAATCCCTGTGGATGCAGTCCGAGCAGCCCATGGTGACCGCCCTCATTATCAGCCGAATCTGGCACCAGCTGTCCAAAAAGTGGGTCAAGGATCTGGACACGAAAAGACAACTCAAAGAGAATGCTATGTAGGTCATCAAGGGACAAAATTCTTCTTCTAGCCTATTCATTTTTTTGTAATCATAGGTGAAAACAAGTTGTTGAAGAGACATTTTAATTTATCTAGTTACCGGTAATATTGATTGATTTATTTGTATTTTTTGTACTCAGAGCATTTGGAGAGCGTGCTGTTGAGTTGTTGAGTATAAGCTACAATGATTCTGCACTTCATGCCATTGCTTCACTGGATGACAAACTCCCAGAATTTGGCAACAAAACTGTCACACAAGTGGCACAGCTTTGTAGGAACAAGTACTTCATTGCACACAAAAGCTGCCAAAAATGGCTAATGCATCGATGGCATGGCAGCCTGCGAATTAGAGAGGTTGACTATGGAATTTTCAAACTTCCAGAATGGTTAAAGGTGAGATGTTTTCTTTTATCAAATACAGTTGAACTTCACGATCTTGAACGTCAATTTCTCAAATACCATAGAAATGTTGAAGTCAATATGAAAGTCCCACCTATTCTCCTTGATGTATTTTACACTCAATATCTGGAATCCTTGGATATCTTGGATTTGATTCAAGTTCAAGATAACTGGGTTTGACTTTACTTTAAATGTTTTCACAACCTGCTTTCTTAGGATGATTTTATGAGCTGCAATTTTGGCATCTACTGATATCACCTATTCAAATTGGTGATGTTACCTATTCAAATATGTGATATCACTCATTGAAATTGAATAAGTGATATCACTTATTCGAATAGGTGATATCACTGATTTGAATTGATGATATCACCTTTTCGAATTGGTGATATCACCTACTGGAAATGAATAGGTGATATCACCAATTTGAGTAAGTGATATCACCTTTTTGAAGAGATGATATAACCTATTCAATTTGAACTGGTGATATCACCTACATGTATTTGTATTTCTTACAACAATAAATAAGGAATGCTCCTTAAACTATCTGGATTTCTGATGAAAACAAGAAAATCTGGACTTCCCAGTTTTCACCTGTATTTTAGTCAAAGACTTTTTAAATGTCTTATGTTATGGATCCAAATAAGTGATATCACTCTTTGGCAGTAAATACCAAAACCACGCCTCATATGTTTTCCCTGTATTGTGATATCACTTTTGTTTTCAGATTTACATGTGTGTTATATTCATCATTCCAATGTTTTTCTGGATTACCTATGATGTCAAGAAAAACAGTATTGCTATCAAAGAAGGTAAAGATTTATTGTAGATTGCCAAATTTTCACACATAATACTTTGGTTAGGTTGCTGTTGAGAGGTGAGAATAAATTTTTTCATGAATTTTGATTATTGTTTAACATAATTTTTAAATAACAATGTACTTGAGATGGAAAATTCATGAACATGTGGTATTATCTGAGCCATGTTTTTCTGTGTCATTATACACTGTATGTAACACGTGATTTGATTGGCTGTTACAGAGGAGGATGAGGAAGATGAGGATCATTTAGAAGTGCCTGAGACGATGCCTCTATCTGGAGAGGAGAAGTGGGTAGGTTATAGTCTAATCTGGAAGCAAGGACAATCCAAAGAAAATTATAAGGGATGTATAATACCGTGCAAGAGGAAATTTTAGCCAGACGCAAGTTTAGGGAATTGCCCTTAAAATTCTGTTTTTTATTTTTAGCGAGAAGTAATCTTAGGGATTTAAAAATATACTCACTTATTAAGAAAATATTACAACTAAAAAGCAATTAAATTTTAGCGATGTTCAATTTTAGCAATCTCAGTACCCTTGCTAATAATGTCAAAATTAAATCCTGGATAAAAATTTTGCTTATACAGTATTAAATCTATGCATTCTAAATTAACACTATGTGACTTCAAACTTAAAAACTACTTGGCTTTCTCGAAAGATATTATGAAATAAAAAGGGATGGGGTATTAAATTTGGAATTTCTTTTTTATATATAGTTCTTTATAAGTCATAAACACCTTTTCAAGGTAAATTTATGGATATCTCCAATTACATGTATATCTTTTGTTTCTCAAGATCTTTAAGAAAAAATTTAAAAATCCAAGCTTGTAATTTTCATTTTAAAAAGACGTATGTTTCAATTTGTAGAAGAGAAGCAGGAAAGGAAATATCCGTTATCATGTGAAGGAGATGTTGTCTTACGGAAAACAGAATCTGAAAGTTCCCATCTATCTCCAGTTTTACTTGTTCTACAGCGCTCCCATTGTGAAGTTTTATATCAGTCAGGTAAATGGTCATTTTAAAAAAGTGTTTGATACTTTTAATGACACACGGGACATAAATGACCTGGTAAAGTAAGACTTCAAACAAAACGTACCGTACACAGAAACACAATGTCAATGAGTTAGAGAGGAAAAAAAAACATATGATTAAAAGAATCTCAATATTCTTATTCTTTTTGAGTTGGCTCGCATAGCGAGCTACTCCTTGTTGAAGCAGCCGTTTCAGAGCTGTAAAAATTTTCACGCATTCATCAAGGTGATCCATATGCCAGATATGATAGTTCTAGCAAGAAATGCTTTTATTTTAGTATTTGTATAAACTTAGGAGGTAAAAACTATAAAATTTCATACCGTTAAATTATTTTTGTCTTCATGCTTTTAAAGAATTTTTTGATTAAATATCTTTACACGTACAATAACTGCGTATGAATATATGTTCAAGCATGTTAGGCAGATCTAATCTTCCCATCTGAAGTTTATGTATAATTGACCTAGAATAATCCCTAACACAAACACCTGCTCGCATTAGCTGCAGCTAGTGTGCTTGAAAAATCTATTTTTAGAATCCAGATTTGCTGTGGGAATCTTGAAACTAATTACTCCATAACACTGACCACTGCAGCTAGTATGTTTAAATTCATTATAGAATCCAGGTTTGCAGTGCTGCTTTTCACAATAAAATATGTATGGAAGCCCATTAGTGCCAACCTGTATATATATAAATAGGAAAAGCAATATATGTATACACTTTATTTTTGAACGGCACTTGGAGACATATAATACAGCAAAATCTGAATATTGACTCTTTATTAAGTACTGTAGATTTTCGCGACACCTTAAAATTTTCACTAATTGTGGTCATTGCTTTATATAATCTTAAGAAATTCTATTATACGCGAGAATGAAATTTTCGCGAGCATACCGCCTCGCGTAATTACGTGAAAGTAAAGTTCTCGCGAATAAAAAGTGATTTACAGAGGGCATTGATTTTCTCTTAAAAATGTGTATACATTCTCAACATAGTATTTATAAAGACTTAAATTCAAACATATATCTCACTAATTTTTTAAATTTATTTAATTTTTTGTAGTTTTTCTACGTTCTGTACCTCCTTTTGTTCAGTCTGGCTGTCATTATACCGTCCTGTGGTGACATCCAGATCGACATCATTCTGTACTTCTGGACATTTATGTTATGGATTGAAGTTGTGCGCAAGACAATCATGAAGAAAAAGGTCAGCTTATTTAATGCAAGAAAAGACATGTAATCAGTGATTTGTTCAATAATACAGTTATAAACATATTTTGATTACATTGTCAACAGAACCACAAGGAGCTGAAGGTTCACTGGACGGTTGTGGAGATCGTCCTGATCTTTATGTACCTGATGGTGATCGGAATCATTCGAATCATCCCGCGATACATTCCCTCGGTCCGATATACCACGGCTAAGTTTGTGATGAGTCTAGGCCTCATCTACTTCTACTACAGAACTATGAACGTCTACTTCCGTATCAGCCCAGTGCTGGGTCCCATGATGATCAGCGTCAAGAGAATGGTATGACTTATATTTGTAATTCTCATAATTGTCATACATGTCTATTATTCAGTTTACAATTATATCTGTCTAGTGATTTTAGAACACATACGAGGTTGTCCGTAAAGTTCATGGACAAGCTAAAAATTGATAAAATTTGTGTCATTGATATTTATTATTGGCATATTTCTAACCCTTTACTAAATGTGAACTGAAAAATGTAAAATTTTATTTAATTTCAAATGTTTAAATACAATTATGGCTTCATAATTAGACTTGGAATGGAGACCCGGAGCACCGCAAAATTTTAATTAAAAAAATTTATCACTTTATAAATTTCATTGGTATTTTATAAAATTCTACTGAAATCTGGATGACTTACATTATGAGGTTGACAGAAGCTATCACGTCAAACCTGCAAAATTTGAGCATTCAAAGTTTCAAAATGGCTGAACAATCAAAGTTAGAACATATAAAGACATGATTGCAATTGTTCAAAAAAGAGACATTTTCGGAATAGGTTGAGCAGTGAACGGTGATAAAATTCTGCGTAGATATCGGAAAATTACCTACAGAGACCAACACATGCTGTAATCAATCGGGAAAACATAGTAAAAAAAGCCTTTCACTAGTATTTAAATGGCATATAATATGAACAGTTTACAGGATGACATGCATGAAGGAAAACCATCATTCCAAGATTGCAGTGCTGTAAAAAAATGAGTTTCGTAACGTGATCATGACTTTGCAGTATTTGCGTAAATAAAATCGTCTTTACGCGGTCAGAGGTTGGATGATTGCAGGATATGAGACAGGCATTGTTAAATATTATTTTACGAATGAAACCTTAATATTTTGTGACATTTTTATAATTGGTCAAAACGACATAAGAAATTTATTGAGTTTAACGGTGACCATGTTGAGAAAAGTTACATGTGATCGTTTTTAGCTTTTGACGTCGGGTAGCATTTACCGGGTAGCTAACATGTCTCTTGAACATGTTCTATGTACGAGGGTTGTCTGTAAAATTCTTGGACAACATTGATAATTACTGACAAACATTGACAAAACATATGAAACTATTATTTTCATTAAATTCATGTTTCATTTTATAAATATGCAAGTTTTCAACAAATACAAAGCACAAATAGTTATATTTTTATACAGCACTAACATCAAGAATTTCGTTGAAGTGCTCCGGGTATGAGTATGTGTCTTTTGTAATCTGATAAAAATATAACTATTTGTGCTTTGTATTTGTTGAAAACTTGCATATTTATAAAATGAAACATGAATTTAATGAAAATAATAGTTTCATATGTTTTGTCAATGTTTGTCAGTAATTATCAATGTTGTCCAAGAATTTTACGGACAACCCTTGTACATAGAACATATTCAAGAGAATGTTAGCTACCCGGTAAATGCACCAACATCATAGCCTCTTCAGAATTATTAGTCTGTGTATTGTTCTTTCTCATTATCATTTGTGTTTTATAATATATTCCTTTTTTTAGATACGGCATGACTTCATCACTTGGTTTAAGATGTTCATGATTATCATGGTATCTGGAGGTATAGCTATCCAAGCCACACTGTATCCTAATTACCCCTTGTCAGAGTATGGTATAACCATGGCTATCAGCAGGGCTTTGTTCGCCATGTTTCTCACCAAAATTGACGACCTGGATGGGGGTAGGTACACGTAACTCCAAGAGCTAGAGTATACTTAGGTTTTTCTTTCACTTGTTAGTCTTTATAAAAAGCATGCTTTTTTAATAGCATAAAGATTATTTGGGCTGTCTTCTGCTTATGAAAGTAAAATTCTGAAAGATTTTAATTTCCCTTCCCCCTGAAATTCTAATCTGATAATTAAATTCCATTTTTTTCCAGGTAGTCCAAAGTGCACTTCTTTTTATGACAATCAGACAACACGTGTGTGTTATGGTGAGTATTACTAAAAATAACTAATTAATACATGAGTGTGTTATGGTGAGTATTACTAAAAATAACAATTAAATACATGAGTGTGTTATGGTGAGTATTGCTAAAAATAATTAATAAGAACAACATCCCTCGGGTATATTGATCATGACTATATAATTGTTACTCTGTATAATACTTTAGCTACTTTGTTTTGCAACATTATTCATATGAAATAACTACATGTACATTCATTCCTCTTATTTTTATGTAGATGCAGCCGCTTCCTTTTGGAATCGAAACATCAGTGAGTACAAGAAATAGATTGCATTTCATATGCAATAAAGATTATTATTATGTTGTAAAGTGAATTGATAATGTAAAGATCCTATGATGAAGCATTATATTTTCACTTCCAGCCAGAGTGCGATTTTCCCATGAAAATGCAGTTTGTCCCCACCGGAGTTTTGGGGGATACGCTGTCACTATACAATATCTCCTCCTAACCAAGCTAATCTTCATCACCCTGCTGTATGCCTTGTTCAGGTAATTACACTTTGTATAATTATATCATTACAGTGTATCATTACACTGGTCAGCTATATATAAAGGACCACTTTGAAGAAATGATAGGAAGTGTTCGTTCTTGATATTTCTTGTGGTCCTGCATCAGGAAGCATGTTATCCATAGGAATAACTGTGGCCATCTGTCTGCATGTTCACTGGATAACACTTTCTGTAATAACCCAAGTTCCAGTTACTTGAAATTATTACAAATTTCAATATTTCTTTGAAAAGAATCATGCATCATTTCTTAATTTGGAATAAAAAAATAAACACAGTATTTTATATCCAAGTACTTATCTATGATACTTTTTGACCTTTGCAGTGCCACCACTACTAAGATCCAGGCGGCATCAGAACAGCTGTGGAAGTTCCAGCTCCACAGTCTGATTGTGGACTTTGAGACCCGCCTCAGGCTCCCGGCACCGCTGAATTTCCTCAGTTACCTCATCATGGTGCTGGAGCAGATATACAAGATTGTGTTATGGATTTATAAATGGATATGTCGCTCCAGCTGTTGTGTGAAACACACAGCATTGGCAAAGGTATTTATAGGAAACCAGATATACCAGTACTATAAATATTATGCAATAAAAGCAAAGATACTTATAGACAGAAAGATTTATTTCATAGTGAATATAAATTTGATTTGGAGAAGAAAAATCAACTTCTCCTACATGATTATTCAGTCATATTTTTTCATTTGATCATTTTTAACTAAACATAAGTTATCAAATTTATGAAACAATTTCTTCATCTCTTACTGAAATGTGGTACTGTAGATTCCCCAAACCTTATTTTTATGGCAAGCCCTTTTGCTATTTATTCGGAAAAAATAAATTTTATCTTAAAATTACAGAGATATCTCTCATTTTAGAGATAATTATGTCTCTTAAAAAATAGAGATATCTCCCAACTTAAAGAGGTATCTCTCATTTTTAAGAGATATCTCTTAAACTTAGAGAAATATCTCTTATACTTAGAGAGATATCTCTTTTTATAAGAGAGATATCTCTTCCACTTGAACAAATATCTCTTTCTCCTTGAGAGATATCTCTTTCGTGAAAAGAGATTTCTCTGAAAGTTTAGTGAAAAAAAGATATCTCTTTCATTAAAAGAGAAATCGAGAGGCTTAGATCATAGGCATTTATATCTGTTTTTTGAAAATAAAAGAGATATCTCTCTTGGCTTAAGAAAGATTTCTCTTGTAAAGAGAATCTCTTGTTAAAGAGATATCTCTATTTTAACCTTATTAAAGAGATATCTCTAACTTTAAGAGATATCTCTCTCACTTAAAGAGATATCTCTCTTGCTTGAAGAGATATCTCTCTAGCTTATGAAGATATCTCTCTAAGTAAAAGAGATATATATCTTACAAAAAGAGATATCTCTCTAAGGTATAAAGATATCTCTATTAGTCAAAGAGATATCTCTATAAGCTAAAGAGATATCTCTCTATGCTAGAGAGATATCTCTGTTATTGAAAGAATTTTTTTATTTCACGAATAAATAGTAAAAGGGCTTGCCATATATTTTCATGAATATATTTATTATTCCAAATCAGGGCCTGATAAGATGCAAATGTGGCCATTTGTATTTTAAGCAAGACTTATTTTCTAGTCATGATTGTTTTGTAAAATAGTTTGCAAATCATATATCATATGTTTCATAATCCTGTTAAAGTACCATTTCCCCACAGAATGACAAGCAGGTGTCAGTGGTGCAGCATTCTGACTTCACGTTTTGGAGAACTTTAATGAAGAAGTTAAAGAAGCAGCAGAAGGAAGAAGACTGGATTAATGCTAATCTGTGGAAACCATTCATGTTTCTCTTACTTAATGCACAGAGACCTCTAGAGCACAAGCAGAAGTAAGACTCAGTCCTAATCTGTGGAAATCGTTTATGTTTCTCTTACTTAATCCTGATCTGTTCAAACCGTTTATCAGAGCTTACAGTCCTGATCTGTTGAAGCCGTTTATGATTCACTTTCTTAGACTTGAGTAATAGACTGTTATACCCATTCGTGTTTCTTTGACTTACAACTAGAGTAGTCTGTAAGACACTTTCATGTTTTATTGACTTGTAGCTGGAGTAAGTTGTACATGTATTCAGGTTTATTATTTGATTGAATTATAAAATCTTAATCTTTCTGATTTATTAAAATTTAACATTGTAAAGAAAAACTTTCTTAAAATAAATGCACCTGCATGTGACAGTTACAAGTGGATTAAAGAATCTATTTTTGTATACAATGAACTTAAAAATGGGATGAAAACTTTTAAATTTTGATTATTTTAACCTGCACTTTGCTTCCACTTATATTATTGAAAATCTTTATATATATTGTGTTATGAAATCGTTAACCTTGGACTGGGATGCTGATGCAAGGTGGAAATAAAGGCATGATTGAATACATATGTAATTTGAATTATCTTATCAATGATAAGCTTTTTTTCCCCTCCAGAATCCAACAGCTTTTGACACAGACATTACTTCAAATGCAGTTTAACAACAAACTTACGGAACAGTTTTTTATCATGAGATGTGAAAATCTAGAACAAGTTCATATATATATTGTGTTACACAACAAGTACAAGTTATTTTATCCCATTACCTTAAAGTTAGTCTCCCTCATCTATGAGTTCATGCAATTTTATTGCTGATAAAAAAAGGTGGAAATAAAGGCATGATTGATTTCTATACATGTGTATATATGAATTATCTTATCAATGATAAGGTGACCTTTGCTATCCCCCTCCAGAATCCAACAGCTTTTGACACAGACATTACTTCAAATGCAGTTTAACAACAAACTTACGGAACAGTTGTCCAGTTTGGAGCGCCACATCATGAGATGTGAAATGGCTCTAGAACAAGTTCATCACAAAATGGACATCAATGGAAAATGCATAAATTCTCTTCTCTGATACTGGGTATTAAATAAACTCAACAAGTACAAGTCTCTATCAAAATTTATTTTATCCCATTACCTGATTATATAGAAAAGCATTAGAAAATCTCTTCTCTGTTCCTGAGTATTAAATAAACTAATTAAGTCATCTATGAGTTCTACAAAAATTGTAATTTTATTAATTCAGGGTTAGGGTGGGGCTCTAATGACTATATAGTGAAAATGCATTAAATCAAGATTAAAAAATGAAGTGGAAGTGACTTATAACTGCAGAATAATTTTAGACAAGGATTTGGTTTACAATTCATGAATTGTTCATTTGTCCATAATATTCATGTAATATGTGAATCTTGTCTACTTATATACTGAAAATGAATTGAATCATCACTGTAAGCAAGTTGCCTTTTCAAAAATTGTGCAGTGTGTAACCTGTTACAATGTATTTGTGTATTTCAAGCTTAATGTATAATTATGATTAGCGTCAAAATTGTGAGATTTAAAACATCCCAATCATTAATGTTTACTCTTGTTTCAATTGTTTAAATGAATTATTTATTATTATTAAAAAAATCTATTGCAGAACAATTTAAGACAATGCTTTGGTTTACAATTCATGAATTGTTCCCACATGATATTCATGTAATTATTTCCTCTTAGGGGAACAATGTAATTTTGTTTACTTAGTTAAAAAATTCATTCACTGAGTCTATTGTATGATGATTCCAAGTAACAGAACACCAACCCAATAGATTTTTTTAACCTTGTTAATCTTCATGATAAGTCATGCTGTGATCCTCTTTGTTATTTCCTACAGACCCCAAAAAGAGGCCAGAGCTGGAGAAGGCAACCAATCTCCACATGGCCAGCCGGGAATCCCCGTACCCCGGCACCACTATACAGAGGTTTCCAGTGTTTGACAAGTTCATAAACTGGGAGGTAATTAAAGTGTCATTATCTCATTCTGTATGAAATGCTAAAGAGCTTTGATAAGGCTGCTTTTAATTTTTACGAAAATATTGAATAAAGAGATATCCAAATGTTTTATACCCATGGAACTGTGCTTTCTTTTTGCATTGTGTATCTCAGTCATTTGTCAAAATAATTCTCCTCCTATTGTGTAATTCTTTAAATCTTATCTGTTATTGTGTAATTCTTAAAATCTTAGCTGTTGATGTGTAATTCTTTAAATCTTAGCTGTTAATGTGTAATTCTTTAAATTTTGGCTGTTAATATGTAATTCTTTAAATCTTAGCTGTTAATGTGTAATTCTTTAAATTTTGGCTGTTAATATGTAATTCTTTAAATCTTAGCTGTAAATGTGTAATTCTTTAAATTTTAGGAGCCCTTCTCTGCCTATGATCCTGTTCTGTACACCAAACCTACAGAGGAGTACCCGGTAGATGTGCGGCCTATGATAGACGTGGATTACATTGAGTCAGTGGAATTCTGTCTTAATGTCTAGAAAAAGTGTTCTAACAAAGATATTCAAAAACCATCTTTTTTGTGTCAAATTTGCTTCTCCTTTATGCATGTACAAAAGAGTCATATTTTATTCAGTAAACTCAGAGCAAAAAATTCTAGTACGTTACTTCAACAAGTCAAAGCCATCATTTATACAATGATTTTTTTTTTTCATATTTTATACCCCTGGTACCAGTTTTAAGTAAGACAATGTTTACATGCTTTTTTCATTGTATTTTTAGCCTTATTTATAAGCTGGAGGACGTGAGTCTGGGTCAGGATGACCGTCTCAGTATCCTGTCATCTCAGACCATTCACAAGCCGCTGTGGAATGTGGTGGCCAGCTATAATATCAACGATGTTAACCTTGAGATTAATCGCATGTCATGGATTGACAAAGATGGTGTTCCAATCAAATACACACTGGATTCCTATAATATACCACTGTGAGTTTTGCTGCTGAATTATATCAAAATTCTTTTATTTATATTATTATTTTTTTTTAAATGTGGGCAAGTTAATTACAATAAAAGTTTGATCCTTAAATAATGACTTCTTTAGATTTACCTGTGTTGATAATATTCTGTGTAAAATAACAATATTTTTACACCCCCAGCCCCAATTCATCTTCCATCCCCTAAACTTGAAATAATCATGATTTATGACTGTATGTTTGTCCTTTACCTGTAGAAATCCCAGTGGTAGAACAGGTGTTCGTGGGCGGGGCAAACTGTGGCGCTGGGGGCCAAACCACTCGGTGAAGGTGGTCATCTCCAGATGGAAACGATACAAGTCAGATGACAGCTTCCTCAAGGTCAACAATAAAAGGGTCATGGAGGTCATTGTGCTGCAGAAGAGTGCAACAGGGGAGCTCACTCTGCCTGAGGTATGTTTCATTCTATTATTATTCTTATGAATAGATAATTATTCAAATTGATCTATATATATAGTTAACAATTTTAACTCAACTGATAGTGCTAAGAATTGAGAATGACCTTTTATCATGTCTATATACTTTTGATTTGTAGGGAAAAGACCATGGCCACATGTCTCTTTATTCAGCCGTGTGCCAGAAATTTTTGATCAAGGTGTTTGGTCAGAAAGAAGTAAAAATCAATGAACAAATGACTGAAAATCAAATGGTTGAGGTAAGGCATTCATATTAAAAAACAAAAGCATTCATTTTTTTTTAATTCAATTGCAATAAGGGGGAAAGGGACAAAAAATAAAATGGTCAAGGATAAAAATTTCTCTGTGTGCATGCAGTATTTTTTTTCTGATAAATAACTACACCAAAAGAGATGTACATGAAACATTAGGCATGGGGAATAACTGATTGAAATCGTTGTCCAAAGACTGACATGTAGATTTTCTACTAGGCATTCTCATCTGTTTATAGTATTTCAAATTTGATGGGTGTAACATATATGCCCTGTTCACACGCAGAGTATAATTCAATTTAACCTAAGTTACTGGTACGTGAAATTTGAACCGCATTCACATGGGCAATTAAATGCAAATTAGTTTAACTCGAATTAATTTACTGTGTATTAGATTACTTCGCATTAGCTCCATGTGAAAGCTAAGCGAAGCTGATTCAAATTAAATTCTGATGCAAGTGTAAGGAGCTAATTATATCACAGACTACTTGTCTGTTGTCAGATATTGGTACTTGAGCTATTTTTGAGTGAAAAACTATGGAAAATTGTGTGTCAATCACTACAAGTAACATATTTACAGACATCTTGTCACATGGATCTGCTTGACGTAAGGTACACTGATTTGCAAATGACGTCAAAATAACCTTATTGAAAAGTCTGACTGTATAAAAAAAAATTAAATTTGCATTAGTTTACTTCACATTAGCTGTTGAATGAACATTTTACAACGATTTAATTTGCATTAATTTAATTCAAACTAGTTAACTTCACATTAATTTACTGCGAATTAAACTCTCCATGTGAACAGGACAATACTTTGGTGTTGCACTTAAATTATATTTTTTATAGGGTGGTATGTAAGTTTGATCCAAATTTTTCCTAAAGCACTGAAATGTGATGTCTAGCTGTCTGTCTGTCCGTCTGTCTGTCCGTCTGTCTGTCTGTAAGAATTTTTAAATGCTAACAGTTCTTCTGATTTCAATATAATTTGGCACACAAGTAGACTACAGTAAGATACATAATTCACACGATGAACTGTGTTGCCGTGGGCTGATTTCAATATAACTTGGCACACAAGTAGACTCATTCTGTGCATCGATTTTTGATTTCGATGATTGGTGTTGCCGTGGTTACTAAAAATAGAAATTTCTGTGAAATTCTTTCTAAATGCTACTCCTCCTACAATTTTGGTCTGATTTCAATATAATTTGGCACACAAGTAGACTACACTAAGATACATAATTCTATATATCGGTTTTTGATTTCGATGAACGGTGTTGCCGTGGTTACTAAAAATAGAAATTTCTGTGAAATTCTTTTCAAAACTACAGTTTTGGTCTGATTTCAGTATAACTTGGCACACAAGTAGACTAAAGTAAGGTACATAATTCTATGTATCGGTTTTCGATTTCGGTGAACGGTGTTGCCGTGGTTGCTAAATATAGAAATTTCTGTGAAATTCTTTCAAAATGCCATGACTACACTAAGGTACATAATTCTATATATCAGTTTTTCACCTCAATGAATGGTGTTGCCATGGTTACTAAGAATAGAAATTTCTGTTAAATACTCTCAAAATGCTACTCCAAATACAGTTTTAGTCTGATTAAAATATGATGTGGCATGCAAGTAGACTACACTAAGAACAGAAAGAGACTTAATCAAGGATCATTATTCTATTTATTGCTGTTAATAAGTTTCAATTTCCAACTGCCTAAATACTTTTCTCTTCCTTTGCTATAAGTACAAACCAGTAGAGCTTCAGTCTCAACAGAGACTTCTGGTTCCTAAAGCACTGAAATGTGAAACTGGAAGAATTGTGTAAATGTAACTTCTTTAAACCCCTGTCACACCGGGGCTGCGTCCTCACGGCGAGTGCACGGCGTCCTCAAAAAATGCAAAACGCCGAGGTGATTGCAGTACAGTCTCCTATAGCGCCATGACAATGCGGCGAGATCTCCACTAAATGCCATAGGGTCTCCTAGAACGCCAGGGGACGGCGATCACTTTGAGCATGCACAAAGTACGCGCCGCGAGATCGCGGTCTGATAAGAACGCAGTAGAAACGTAGAATGATTGCCGTAGCAGCGTGGTGAGATCTCCAACAACGTAGTGGGAGCTCCGTACGAACGCCGTGAAGACGCACATGATCGCGGAACAAACGCAGTGATAGAAGACTGCGCTTCCACGGAGACCTCACGGAGTTGTCGCGGAGTCCTTGGAGATGTCACTACGTTTCTATCGCATTTTTACGGAGCTTCTAATGAGATTTATCGTTTTGTTTTTTTTCGACTGCGATTACACGGCGACAGCACAGAGTTGTCACTGCGATCATTGCGATCCCGTGGCATTTATTCAGCGTCCGTTGGCGATCACAATGCGCTTTCACAGCGTTGTTAGACCGTTGTCAGCCAGCTCACAAAACAAGAGCAATGGTATCATATTTGATCAGCAATAATTCCAACGTATCTGTTGCACTAGGAGCATTTTTGTGAAAAAAAAATGGAAGAGAAAATAACACCAGAACTTGTTGTTTCACTTAAATTTTGTAGAAAACTTTTCAGTGTGTTTATTTTTTTTACATTCAAAATAAAATCAAAGAAAATCTAACAACACATCTGAACCGATAAAATTGAAAAAAAAGGAGTTTAATCATAAGACTATTAATCGCCGAGAGATCTCCGTGGGAACGCAGTAGAACGCCGTGAGATTGCCGTAGAATCGCGTCCGTCGCCGTAGGGACGCCGTGACATCTTCATATTGTGAAAATTTTACAGAAATTTGTGCAATTTTCCTGCGATTCCACGGCGATTTTAAAAATTTAACAATGCCGTAATGACTCCGTGTGAACGCAGTTGGTGTGACAGGGCCTTTATGTATATATGCATGCATGCTTTGTAAATTGGCAGTATAAGTTTTTTCCCCTCTCTGAAATGCTTCTGTTGTATACACAGAAATTCAATTATGATTTTTTGTGTTTCGATCTTTTTCAGTTCTTTGAGCAGTTTGTGGAGCCCCATCCTGGCCCTTTCACTGGATTTACCTCAGGGATAATTTACAAGGGCTACATGGATGATCCGTGTAACACTGACAATGCCTGGAGAGAGGCTGAGGTCTGGAACATACATTACCATGTTCCAGATAACCTGGATTCAAAGATTGTCAATGTAAGGGGGGGATAAATCTGCCTTAATGTGCTTGAACATAATGTGCAGTATTATAATGATACATGTATTAGATGTAATTATTCATTCATCTGCAAGTTGAACAAGCAATCCATTGTACACTTATTAAATATACATTTATTTCAAAGTGTTCAAATTTTTTCAAATGATATCGATCAAACCATTAATGGTACTCTCTTCAAATTAAAGTAATAAGAAAATAACAGAAACTTAATGTGTACAATGAATTTAATTATGAAAAAAAAGTGAATATTTTGTGATCTCAAAATCAATAAATTTTAATTTTACAGAAGGAGAAGAGGTGGAAGGAGGTGTCATCTTATTTCCACCTGCCAGGAAACCAGAATCTTATAGTTCAAGAGACGGCACGAATCAACGGGGCTTATTATGTTTAAAAATCACAGCACATCCAGGAGATAGCTCCAATGAACGTAGCTTATTGTGTTTATACACTGAAGTTCACAATAAGTTCCTACTCAGGAAACAGCTCAAATTAACAGAACTTATTAGTAATAACAATGCAGTTTACAACATGTCCTGTTATCAGTTCAGTGAAAGTATAAGACTGGTTGTTTTTCAGGGATATTTTATCCTATATGTATATAATGACAGCTCTATAAATTAAAATCTCAACAACAGATATGCTGAAATGCAGGTGCCTTCATCACTTTGTTTTTTTTATTACTGCTTACTGTTTTAAAGTAGGTGTGAATTAATGCAAATCATTTTACAATTTCTGGATTTTTTATTTCAGTATTTCTATGGATTGTGTGTGACAATTAATTATTGAATTTTTTTTCATACCATCTTGAAGTTCATATGTTTTTTTTGTTTTTTTTTTGTATAAATATTAACATTCATTTATAGAATTCTTAAAGTGCAGCTTAGTTGAGGACTTTGAAATGCCTTTTTTTTTTTTTACAATAGTAAATTTTTATATTAATTGCTACCTCTATCCCTTAATTATTTCATTAGTTTATAACACTCAGGATATTTTTTTGAAATGCATGTTTGCCAAAGGAGGTAATATTAAAACGGGTATTCATTTTTGCAAGTTTTTGTTTATAGATGGGTATCAGCTTGCCTTTTTATATATAGCCCTAGCAGACAAGTCTGATTAAATATTTTAAGAATCAGCATGTCTATCTTCCCAGCTGTCCATTAATATTTTTATGGATATCTTGAAAAGTTGATTTCCCCCAAAAACTTTGTTGAAATTAGATGAAATGTTTAGATATACGTATCTTGTACTTTTTGATTTATTTCTGAAAACTTACCAAAAAATTAAAACCATTTTTGAAGTCTTAATGAACATAACTTTTGTGCAAAGAAAAAAAAAGAGTAATTTTTTTTTTTATGATGTGACATTAAGTTACAATATGTACTGCTTATTCCTTTTAATGATATTCATTTAGCTTAATTCATTTATATTACTAATTATCAGACATTTTTACTCTTAACTCCACTGCATTTTTGCTTTACCTCGGTTTGTTAATGAACACAGATTGGTTGTGGTTTCTTTCACCACTGTTTTATCCCTTGCATTATAAACATGACCATTCTAAATCTGACTTTTCTGATTTTTTTGTTTTTAACTGAATCTGTGTTGTTCATTGTGTTTTGCATATTTTTATGTCTGAAATACACACTGAAGTTTTTAACTTCCCCCCCCCCCCCAAATGTGTGGTGCTTCCATTGCTGAATTTATGATATATCTGTACATATGAGAAATTTGCCTTTGAATTTACAATTGTTAATTTTTTACTTTTATAATTTTGATAATATATATGTACATACATTCAAGAAATCATGCATTTTCATGAAATGCAGCTGTTCTGATCATGCTAGTATATTTGTCATACTGAACTGATCACACAGGCTAGAACATGTATTGATCAAACTAGTATTTAATTGTCATATTGGACTACTCAAACTAGTATATTTGTCATATTGGACTGATCAAGATAGCATTTGTCATTTTGGACTGATAATACTAGCTATTATTTTTCATGTAGGACGATCATGATAGTATTTGACATATTGGACTGATCAAACTAGTATTTGACATAGTGGACTAATCAAACTAGTATTTGACATATTGGACTGATCAAACTAGTATTTGACATATTGGACTGGTCATTTTGTACATGTATGCGTCATGTTGGACTGGTCATACAAGCTAGTATTTGTCATATGTTAGCCACTTATTCAGAGTATTGTTGATTATGTGGCACCAGTGTTATACAGACAAACTAAAAAGGGAATGTCAGTATTTCCTGTTACCAGTATATGTATACGTTTAATTTCTAGATTGAAATAGATAATACCGTATTCTATCCATGATTTAGAGAAGTCAATCTATATTTCACAGTTTTGAAATAACAATTGGAACTAGTATAGCTAATACGACAAAAAGAAAATTTAATGTTTTATCATTCAGTATGGAATTTCATATAATATTAGACAAGATTTCACCAAAAACCAAAAAAAAAAAACAAAAACAAAAAATATATATAAAGAAAAACAAAAAAAATTATCTAGTGCTTTGCACTTGTTGAAATAAAAAAAAAATATTCCACTAGAGAAATGAACGGTAAATTAACTATTCAACCAGAAAAAGCATTGAATATTCTCATTTTATTACCAGTATTAGTGATTGAGTGTAAAATTGATCATGTGTATTTAACACAATTAGTACATCTACACTGTATCAGGAAATACTTTCATCCCTTGACCTGTATTTTTTGTAGACGACTGCTATAGGGCAAGTTGAAGAGAAAAGTGACTTTTGAAAGAAAGAAATCAGGCATTTCTTTTTGTGGTACCATATGTGTGTACATATGAACATTTCTCAGTAATCAGATTTATTATCTGTCTACCTCATGAATAATTTAATGTACATTTACATCATTTACACATACTAGTATACACCTTATACTGAATAGCCTTGTTTTTTACTGAGTAACCACATGTACATTTTACACCAATCTTTGTAATTAGTTCTGAATACTGTGAAATCACAAATTTTCTTTGGGGTTTAATTTTCGTTGTTTTTGAGGAATCACGAGACCCACAAATTCATGTCCACCATGAAATGTAAAATGTTACTTACATAAGTACTCATGAATTATTGATCCACGAAATCAAATCCCCACGAACCGAGATTTTCCTCAAACCACGAAAATTTGACCCCACAAAAAGTATGTGATTTTACAGTAATACATTTCAGCTATAGAATAATACAAGTTTTGTCCTTTGTCTCAATTTTGTCTCAGTTTTCTTCTTGGGTTATACTGCTGTAATATTGAGATTTTTTTTGTTCTACTAGCTGTACATCACAGTCAAGTCTTTAACTGCTTTAATTGCAACTGACAAACAAGGGGTATATGAAATCCCAGATATGTCACAGAATTAAAGGGATTTAAAGACCTTTGCTTTGCATGAAGAAAAAAGTCATTATAAAAAGCACATTATGAGTAGATTGAATTCTTTTTTTTTTAGTTACACATTTTGTTACAACGAATATATGTACAGCTGTACACTTATAGCTTAGTTTAGATTTGTATACTTTGTATACTTCATATACATGTATTATACATTAAAATGTCACTTTTGACAAACCTTTGTTTTTATTTCAAACCACTGACAATCCTGTGGAATATTGCTTTAATAAAAAAAAAATCACCTCCTCCTCAACAAGACCTTGTAAGCTTTGAACAGAGAATCTCATAACTATGCCTCTTTTTTGGACAAATATGTTATTTTATTTTACTACAAGGAAATTTTTGCCCCCGTTTTATTTTTGCCCCTTTCGCCCTTGTCACAAGTGGGCAAATTTAATACGGGTGATTTCAAAGAAAACAGTATAAATTCTTAAACAGAACTGGGATTGGGCGAATTTAAAATGGGGCAAATTTGTAAGCAAGCATAAAAGGGCAAAAAAAAAACCCTGTATACAGTAAATTTTTTTTTGCAAAAGTCACTTGTTACTGGTTGGTTTTTGCCATTTATCTTAATATGTATAGCAAGTACAACTAGAGACTCTGCTATTGCAAGCAATAGTGTATGTTGCCCCGAACTGGCTACCATTTTTTTTCCATCACTGAAGCAATACCCATTAGCTAAGCTCGGACAACCATTAACTCATATCAGTCCTTTCAGTACTTTGATTAAAACATAGGTAATCAGAGATTACAGAGCTCACCTCAACGAATGTTGTCTTTAAATAATGCAAAGTCACACAATTAACCAACAAAAAATGTACATTCCAAAAATTTTAAGCAATTTTGATCTGATACTTTGAAGTAGACCAACATAAAAAATTTGGCAAGTATTGATAATTTGAAATTAAATTCTACAAATAAAAGCTTGAAATTGCACATAACTTTAACCTGGTCTAATAATATATATCATTAATATAACAAAGTTTCATGATGTTGCACAATAAGGCTCATAGAGAAAGATCAAAAACTAACATTTTGTCATCCACAAAATGTAGGTCACTTTTTGCAAGTTTCCATGGCAACGGTAGCCATTTTGAAACTACGTCCTCACTAAAGCAAAACTGAAACAACCAGTGATTGTCCTCAACCAGAAAATGTAAGTTTCAGCAATGATAGTGTGCATCCTTAGCCATCTCAACATGCTTAAAGAAACAGCCCATATAACAAAAACATGCTTAGATGTATCATCCATGCGACTATAGTTACTTGGGGCTTTAACTGTTTCAACCGGAAAATGTTATTCTGCAGTGTTTGATATGAATTATATCATAACAATGACTGTTGTGAAAACAAGTCAGTCCGGCCATATTATCAATCCTGACTTGAACAAGATTTAATCATGATGATGACCACAACAGCCATGATTAGATGGCAATGTTCTCCTAGATGTATCATCCATGCAAGTTTGGATAACATAGGGCTTATAGCTACTTGGAAATGAAACCTACACCAAAAACTGCACCAAAAATGTTAATCTCCAAAAACTCATTCCTTTGCTAAAATTGCAGATGTCTGGTACAATGAAACACAAGAACCATCTTCCATGCATGTCTAATCAATATAGGACATAGAAGTACTAAAAAGAAAACTGCTCCAAAAAAGTTTTCACTCAGTCCACGCCGAATGAGTCTCACAGTGATGGCAAAAGTAAAGAACTTTCACTTTTCCCCTGTTTCCATGGCAAGTATTGATAATTTGAAATTAAATTCTAAATGCGAATTGCACAACTACAATAAATAATCATTAATATAACAAAGTTTCATGATGTTCAAATGACCAGAGAGATACTCTTGTGGACAAAAGTCGTCACTTTTTGCAAGTTTCCATGGCAACGGTAGCCATTTTGAAACTACGTCCTCACTGCAAAACTACAACCAGTGATTGTCCTTCGAGGAAAGTTTCAGAATGATTGTCCCAGCCATCTCTGAGAAACAGCCCATATAACAAAAACATGCGTAATATGCAGGGGATAATTAGATGTTTGATATGAATTATAGATAACAATGACCAGGGAGATGAACAAGATTTAATCAGAGAGCACAACAGCCATGATTAGATGGCAATGTTCTCTCAATCATCCGGCCATCCCCATATGATCTCTCAGTGATGTCCAAAAGTCTTCACAGTCCCTATATGGTCTCCTCAAAGTTTTCACTCAGTCCAAATGAGTCTCACAGTGATGGCAAAAGTGAGTACTCTCCCAGAGAATGTCCGGGGGTCATGGAAAAAGTGGAGAAAGCCAAGGGACCTCTTGGATCTCCTAATGAACTCACAGAGGTGAGAATGGTAAGTTGGCCACATCTTGCAGGGGCTAAGAGAAACCCAAACAGAGAGAACAATATCACTGGAAACATTTCATTTGAGAGATGAAGCTCCTTTCTTTTGTCGGAGTGATGATGATGCTGCCCAAAGTAGGCATTTCACCATAGCTGCTCCTAGTTCTTTTTCCTCATATTGATCTGTTGTCCCGTCTGACAAAAAGTCCATCACAGATTTCAAAAATATGTAATGAAAATATGTGAAATGGGAACTAGAAAACTGACCAGTCAGCAAGGGCCCCGCCATGGGGTAGAATTAAAAGGGTGCAGCTTACGGAATGATTAAAAAATGTACAAAAATAAGCAACAGCAACTGTATTCTTAAAATTTCAAGATAATTCCTGAACATTCAAAAACCTGAAAATAATATCCTTGTACTTACATTAGGCAGTAAAGAATGACTTAACATTGAATGTATATTTAAACAATTATGAAGCTTGTGTTATATAAAATCCAGCCTTCAATGAATGCAAATATCATGAAGGCTTGACCTTAACTTCAAACAAACAGCAGTTGCAGACAAAGGTTTTCATTAATCTTAAAGATAAAGAAAAGCCTACTAAATTTTCTGCAGCAGGTTAGATAATTAATCCCAAGGGATTAATTGTACCTCTCTCATCATTTTCTTCTATAGTTACAATAAGAACTTTTTCAGTATTAATGATAGAATGGGGTTTTTATACAACTACCTTAAAAATTAATAATATTCTTGAATTAACATAAGTAACAAAAGTAAATCAAAAAATCTTCTTTAATCTATTTCTTGTTTTTAGAATTCAATGAAATCATAACTATTAAACAAAAATAAATTATGAAAATTTATATTCAAATCCACATTTCAGAGTGTTCATAGCATTCCAAATTGACTTAACTTCAAAACAAACTTCATTTGCAGACAGAGGTGGTAATTCATCTCAATGTGACAGATAAAGATAATGCTCTGGATTTTCTTCAGGAGAAAAGCTAATTAATCCCAAGGGACTCATATAGCAGCATTCAGTTTATAATGGGAACATCTTCAGCAGTTATCTCTCTTTGCCAATGCATTCTTATATAAAGTTAAGGAATGTACCCCACCACCCCAGCTCCAAACCAGGGGACATAGAGAACCAAACTTAGCATCAAAATATGTATTTCTGCCTACTGAACTACCATACCAAATTTGAACTTGATTGGGCAACCATAAAAAAAGTTGCCCATTCATTCTTATGCATAGTTAAGGAATCTACCCCACCACCCCAGCTCCAAAGCAGAAGACACAGAGAACCAAACTTAGCATCAAAATATGTATTTTTGCCTACTGAACTACCATACCAAATTTGAACTTGATTGGGCAACCATAAAAAAAGTTATTAGAAAAAAACAGAAAATTTGTGGACGGAAGAGTGACAGACGGACAGACAGACAGACAGAGTGATTACTATAGGGCACCCGCAAATCCTTGCGGGGCCCTAATAAAGAAGGCAGATTGGGTTAAGATTGTTTTCTCTTTTTAGCTCACCTACACTGAAAGCTCAAGTGTGTGCATGCTTTTCTGATCAACCCTAGTCCATCATTTGTCTGTAAATAAACTTTTCATATTTTCAACTTCTTCTCAAAAATCACTGGACCAATTTTGACCAAAGTACAAAGCATCCTTGGAAAGGAGTATATCAGATAAATGGTTAAAATGAAAAGCTACATCCCCTTGCAAGAGGAGTTAATCAAGAAAAGACAAAAACAAGATGCTGTTATTAAAAAAAAATAAAGAACCAGGGCAAGAAAAGCTGAAACTTCAGTGAAAGTATTCTTGGGATGTGTAGATTTTAAAATATTCAAATCATAAGACCCCAGGGTAGGGAGTCCAAGGGGCATAACTCTGTCAAAAATTGCTTGATCGTATCCAAAATCGAAATTGACCTAGATATTGTGATAAATGTGTAAAACAAATTTCATTTCAGTATGTTCAACCTCTGCATACAAAATGAATTGAAAATGTTGGCGGACCAACAGAGCAACTTATAGACAGCATAAAACAATATGCTCTCCATTCTTGGAGGAGGGGAGGAGCATAAAAAACATATCCCCCATTGTAGGATGGGCCACAATAGGTTTTTCAATGGGAAAGTCTGGTAAAGAACAGTAAGACCAAAGGTATTCAGGTGAGCATTGTGGCCAATTATTTTAATTTTTTTCCTTTTTTGCCTTTATAAATTCCAAAATATTGATTGTTATGGCTATTCAGATAAAAACCTCATTGTATCACTTCTGAAAAAAGGATGAGAGAGAAATACAATGAATTCCCTAAAATTATTATCTTTCCTTTCACCTTTCATTCATAGGCATCGGAACGGGGGGGAGGGGGGACCTTTTTAAATTAGGGTTAACATTTTTTTGTTGGTTCAGCCCCCCCCCCCCCCACTTTCAATTTGCTTCAGCAGATGCCTGTGCCTTTTGCAGAAAATTTAAGAGGCTTATCTCTCTTACACTTAAAAGCTTAATTAAGGACAGATGATACCGTTCCTCAATAATATATATATTCTTCCAAAATTTTGCCATTCAAGTATTTCTACTTTAATATGTTTATTCACAAAAAATTGAGGTACCTTACCAGGCATTTGTGCATGATACATGTAGCAGAGGGTAGTGTTTCTTATATAATCATTTTGGAAAAAAGTTAAGCGACAATGTCAAAAATGAAACTTCTTAGTGTTTCATTTATTTTAAGATTATTGGAAACTGGTTTAGAAATCAGAATATTACTAAAACTTTGAATATTTTTCAGACATTACAAAAACATACAAAACAGATATTTGAGGAACGTATCGTTTGACCTTAACACCTTTGTCTGCAAATGATATTGGTTTCCTTATTAAATGTCATGCTAAACCAATTAAAAGTTACCTTGGACACTCCCTGGAAAACACAACCCCTGATAAATGCAGATCTGTGTTAAGTTTGTCTGAATTGTACCATAGTTAGGTGTGATTTCTTTTGTTAAAAGTGTGGGTTTTCTGTACATAACCCACACTTTTCTATAACTCCGCCCATCGAGTCGGGACAAAAGAACTATTTATAAAACGATCATGCACGGTTTTTAAATGAAACAGTCATACGGGCTTGTTATACCAAATTTAGGAGAGTAAAAAAAAATCAATTGTATACAGCATTTTGTAATAAATAACAGTTAAAAACGGCCATTAATACTTTAACTTTAGTTAAAAGTGAAGAAAAAACCTTCAGAAATCGCTTGATTTTTTAAACATTTTTTAAATATAAAATAGTGCAATGACCAGGGTGACGTTAGCTTAGTAGATTCCAATATATCGTTCTTTTGATAACCAACAAAGGAAATACGGTACATACTTGACGTAAAAACAAGTGTACACTACTGTACTAAATAACCTTTTCGATTGCGGATCTAGCCGATCAAAGATCTAATTTTCATTAAATTGAAATATACATATAACCCCTAACAAACATTTCAATCAACGTACCACTGTACACGGCAAAGTCTATATCAGGTCTACAAAAATTTAAGTTAAACCAAGTTCATAATAAATTTAAATTACTAGTAATAGTATGTAATTTTGACGATTGTGATTTACGAGAAAAAAATCATATCAAATTAACATATATCATTGAAACCAAACTCGTTATTTTTTCAATTACATAAACTTTTTAAACGGGCCTAGATATGTTCAATTTTTATGTCGCTTGCGTGGCCCAGTGGTTAAAGTGCCTGCACTAGAGTCACGAAGTAAGGAGTTGAATCCCACTGTGGGACGTGGAGACCTATAAAGTATAAACAGAGGTCCCGTGTCGCAGAAGGTGTTGAAAGGAAGAAGATCTCTCACTGCTCAATGACCTTGAGTGCCGAGTATAGGGCAAAATTTGTAGCAAAATTTGAAAAGTATTGTATACAAATCACTTACCCTATATTCGATGGACGTGGTCAGAAGGACACGAAGGAGCGTAAAATCATATAAAATCCAAATGCATCTTTGAAACCAAACACTTAATGTTTCAATCACGCGAACCAGTCCGACCGATTCATAAGCTGACTTACATATGAATGATTTTTGAAAACTATGGTACAAGTCATTTACCGCAAATAATACTGTTGATTATGTGTAGATACCCGATGGGCTTGGTCATAATGAGCTACGCTCCCTCGTATCATTATGACCACGCCCATCGGGTATCTACACATAACCAACAGTATGATATGGGGTAACTACTACAAGTCATAGGTATGATGATTTAGAAGTCAACGTCTACACCCCTCTTCCCCTCTGATATCATGGATATAATGCCAAAGTGAGTTGGAAGTCCATCAGTTTTTCCTGTATGTTTATACTGAATGAAACGTGAACACACATTAAATATACTGATGCAATTTAATTGCAAGCAAATTGAAAAGTACAGGCACGAAAAAATTTGGCATTCTATATAAATTCACAGGTGTGAATGCAACATGAATAGAGCACAACACGACTGGGGCTGAACCAAAGCACCATAATAGCTACATAGTAAATCATGTGAAAAACTCAACAGTCATATACATAGACTTAACAGTAGGAATTTATACAGAAAACTATACACTCTGAAAGCAAGTCTTACTTACTTCTGATCAATACATGTTGTCTGATTCAATCATTTTGTGAGTGATATTAAAACATGCAAAAAGTACAATGATGCCTGCAAGTAAAATGTTGACAAAAAATGTTTTTTCTTTTTGAAGATTGAGACAGTATTTACAGAGAAAATGTGTAACTTTTTCAAAAGCTTGTCAAGTTTTTCCCTAGAAATGTTTTACACAACACATATAGTTTCTGGCAAATAAAGAATGGTAGAATACTGATATATCTACACATAGGTGAAAGTCAAAGATTGATCTGAGGACGAACAACAAAGGCAAAAAACATCAATTCCTAGTGACAAAAATATTGCTGTAATCATAATTGCAAGGAAAACTACATGCTACAAAAAGAACGAGATCTGTGCTTCAAAAAATGGGCAAAATAATGGATTTTTTTTCTTCTTTTTAGAAAAAAAAAATTAAAACAAATGTTGATATATTTATACACACAAAGATACACATCTAGTCACTATGTGACAAATATAAAGTATGTATTCTCATGCTTTACACCTGACATTCATTAATACACACTAGTTTACAACACTACCCATGTACATTATATTTGTCTGCATTACAAAATATGGGAAGCAACAAGTGTAAAAAGATGAATTAGAAGCTAAAAAATTCACATAATTTTATGGCTCCAAATTGTACAATAAAACATATCAAAAGAAATGCCAACATTTGTCAATATGTAATAATTTGCAATCTCTCATTTGCAACTAAAGATTATATTCTGAATATCTGTCATTCAGTCTTGTCTATTTAAGTGATGAAGACTGATTTTGAAAACATTTATGAGACTGCTTGTACCTTACTATCATAGGATCAGTTCTTAAACTGTGTAATGATTTACTTGTTGAATACACATCTTTGTTATGCTTTGTCACACCAGTTCTGAATTTTTGTCTCAGACATGACAGGAGCAAAGTCATGCAATGTACACAACTTAAAATGGCCCAGACACTGCTACAGAGAAAGGAGAGACAGATCACATTGTCTGACTCACAAATGTGACTGCTGAATGCAAGTTTGACTCAATAAACTTTTTTTCAGACTTAAATGTTAACTTCACAAGAAATGATTTTTTTATTAAGTATATATGTTCATCAGTCATGAATATAAACTACTGTAAAAAAAAAAGCAATGATCTAAATCAGTTGTCATGGACACATTATGCTTCTAAACAAACAGTTTTATCTCTACACTCTGGACCATTTGGCCTAGAATAATAAGTACGGGAAAATGAACACCTTAAAGTAACCTGATCAGATTGTCAATCAATGCTTCAGCTACTTGTATAACTGACACAAATCTTAAAATTTACCTTGTACTTTTATAGTCTTTGGATATGGGTATTTATATTTAAATGAAATTCAAGAATAGCTGGTGAATGAATTCATTTTTATAAAAAATAAAGTTAGGCTTGGACTTAAATTTTCAACACAAAAAGAATATTTCTTAATCCATTTAATGAGATTCTATGTTACTCTTTAAAACAAGAAGCAGATTCTCATGGCATTGCTTGTAAAAAATTAATTTTATGTAAAAAAAAAAAAAAAAAAAACCAAAGAGAAGCCAATTAGGACCAAGGTCGTCCATAATATTTGGTTTACTCGGAGTTGTGATTTAAACTAGAACAAATACCCTAAAATAACACTACATAATCAAATTTTTATAAAAATTATCACATCACAGTGAAAAAAAATTTGTCTAAATAATCAATTTAGTCATAAAAACAAATGGACTTTTATAGAAGAAAGACTTCAGAGTTTATCATAAAAATCAAAAAAAAATTACAGGAGAATATTTGTTATCTCCCATTTATAGCACATAATGAATGAGTGACCGACTTATCATGTTATCTCTCAACTTAAGAAGATGTAGAAAAGGCAGAGTTCAAAGGTTAACCAACTAGACTAAGGGGAGCCAACTCCTAACTAAGGGGACAGAATATTATCACAATAACAAAATCAGTTATTTTCAAAATATACATAAAATACTGCTTCATAAGCGAAATGTGCACGAAAAATTACATATATTCATAATTACTTTACAACTTTATCAATACATAAAAGAGTTAATTGAAATAAGCAATTATTAACAAAACAGGACATTCACAAGATGCACCAAATAATGCCATTCTTCTTCATTTACAGTGAACAAAAGTCTTCATTTCACTAGAAATATAATGACAACAGTTCTAAAATCTTGATCTCTTTCAAAATTGAACAGCTCTTGCAATAACCATCATAACAGCAGATGCTACATGTATCGGGTCTTGTATGATTGAAGTGGTAATCTTTAAAGTTATGCAATAGATAAGACATCTACAGACTGTAATTCATATTCCTTGATCATACAAGCAGTGAGTGGTTTTTTCTCTATAGTTCAGCACTATATATATCAAATAAAGTAAATTTTAACTTTAGTAAAGTTTTATAGAAATTGATTCAGTCAAATACTGAAAGTTTGATCCCTTTTGGTTTAAACTAGCTGGCCTCTCTTGTGCAATAATTACTTCATAAACTTCCTACGAAAAATATACCAGGCGTTACAGTTCTTGCTTTTAATTTCTAAACCAGTTTTAGCATGGAAAAACCATAATGCTTTATATATCATAGATTAAATTACTTTACATTAAGGATGACAAAGGGTTAACCAATTATCAGTTAGAATATTTACAACTAGTTACCGTTTTAATAACCAGTCAGTCAATAATTTTCACAAGTACATGTAATTGGTTAAATGATTTTTACAAAATTGAAAAAAAAGTAAAAATAATGTGAATGTTGAAGAAAATATGGTTTAAAATCTGAAAGCAATAATTTGTGGTGGGAGGGGGGGATACCAAGTTGTTATCTGTTCTTCTTTGTTTCAAAATTAAAGAACTCTGATATGTTAAAAGTCAGTTCAATTAAAAGGAAGGTAATTGGTCAGATAAAATAACAACTAAATGGTTACATAAAAAAATCCTATTTGCATCACTATTATGTGTATCTCCATAACTTTATCTTATAAAGCACCAAGCAAATGGTTGCCCTTGAAATTAAATTTCACTTACCACAGAAAATTTTCAACAAAAATATATAAGAATGCCCAAATAGATCATAACATAAAAGATCCACATTTTCAAACAGATAAAAAACAAACAATCAATACAATGGAAAAAGGATATTGTAAACAAATACAAGAAGTGTTTATGAAACACTATGCGCCCGGCAGCGATAAAGTTCCAAACAAACTACTTTTAGCATATAGGTCACAGTCAAGGTCACAAGGTCATTTCCTTTGGTGTCATTTGAAAGAGGTTATCTAGTGGAGTATGCATATCAAATATGAAGTCTCTATCTCTTATGATTCAAAAGTAATGGCAAAAGTTCGAAAAAGCTATTTTTAGTATATAGGTCACAGTCAAGGTCATTGACCTTGGTGTCATATGAAAGAACTTAATTAGTGGATTAGGCATACCAAATATGAAGTCTCTATGTCTCACGGTTCAAAAGTTATGGCGAAGGTTAAAGTTGACAACAGACAGACAGACAAACAGACAAACAAGTAAACAGACAGCACAAAAACAATATAAGCCTCGGATCTATCAATCTGGGCACATAAAAATCCCCTTTGTTCAATTTCCCCCTCTAATAAAAACAAAACCCAGTGAAATCCTTAGTGATAGTTAAAAACAAACAAAAAAAAATCCATCTGCAATCTATCCTTTTTAAAATGATCTCAAAAGCTAACAAGAATGCGGAGATTGCCATTAACAGCTCTGTTCACTTGTGATAACAATATTAGCATTAACAGCTCTGTTCACTTGTGATAACAATATTAGCATTAACATCATCGCCTAGCATCCTGTAACCTTTCATGGGCTTGCTTGTAAATTCTGGCGTGTTCAGTATATAATGAGTCATCAAACGATCATCGTACAAGGACAGTCGATTCTGTGCAAGAGTGACTGGGGTTTTGACTCTCTTTTTAATTTTCTCCGATGAATTCTCTCTTTGAATTTTTCCTTCATCCACTGATTCCTTTCCAAGTAAAGCAAAGCTTTCACATGTATTTGACTTGGGTGGTGATTTTACTTTGTAGTTATGTCCTCGCAAAGAAAGAGAATTTGGTCTCTTTCTCTTACAGAACACATCATCCAATTCTGTGACACTAGAAAAATGACAGAACTCTCTTTGAGGACTTATGTCTGATGCACTTTTAGAATGACCTCCTGACCTGGTTACCAAGACAGCAGACCTTGGACCTGGAGTCTCCATCTTAGTCCTGCCCATTTCTGCCATGTAGATGACATTGCTTTGTTTTTGATCAGATGGTCGTACAAACGGTCTACCATTTGTTACCCTGATCTCTGTCTCTATAGCATTTGTAGAACTCTCATGAGCAGGACTGGACCATGTTGCTGGCCGCTGACCAAGCTGTTCTTGGTACAGGTTTGGATTTTGAACATGTTGATCTTGTAATAAATTGCTGACTTCAGAGGCATTCTCCTGGCCATGTTTTCCTATCTTTTTATGAACATGTCTTCCTTTCTTCTTGAAAAATGGCAACTTACTTCCGATATCTTTGACCTTTACCAGATTTTTGAAACGACTCTGGTGTGGTTTCTCTTGTTCTGAGAGCTGCATTGCTTGCGGTACATTGGCCACTTTTGGCCTGACAACACGACTCTCATGCACTTGATTTTGTAGAAAAGGGATAGGTGGATTTCTATGTTGACCTAAAACATCATTCTGAACTAGTGATGTTTCTAAGCTGTCACTGAATGAGTGTAAAAGATCATCCAACAAGGGGGGCACTCTTTGCCCACTGTCTGTGTCAGATCTCTCATTGTTATACACCAGTTTGTTTCCTGCCACACTGAGCTCCTCGTCACTACGTTTATGAGTGTTCCGTTCCACTGTGGGGTTCCTCCCTTGGTGAACGGGGAGCACCATGTTATTTTTAGCTAGGGTGACATTTAACAGTTTGACTGGGGGAGGGTTTTCCTCCTCCGAGGGAGACATCATAACAAAAGTTTCTGTCGTGGAGCCCGAGGTGGTCATGCCCGGTCTGTTGTACCAGGATGACGGGCGGGAGTTGATGTACCCGTTAGGTGGAGAACTGATAACCATACTTGTGGTGTTATTGTCCACATAGCTGGATGTTGTTGTGTCCTCTCTAACTGAAGCCATTCCCGTAAGTTCCTGTGTCGTTCTCTCTGGCTCAGAAGAAAACTGGAATGAGTTACTCGTTGTTGTTATCGTTGGAGTCAAGCCTACAAAAAACAATATCATGGTAATCTGTATCTATCACTATTACATGGTAATCTGTATCTATCATTATTATATGGTAATCTGTATCTATCATTATTACATGGTAATCTGTATCTATCATTATAACTGTATCATTATTACATTATTATATGGTTATCTGTATCTATCACTATTACATGGTAACTATCATTATTACATGGTATCTAACATTATCTAACATTATCATGTATCTGTATTTATCATTATTACATGGTAATCTGTATCTATCATTATTACATGGTAATCTGTATCTATCATTATTACATGTAAATGTGCTGTTAAAACTTACATTTAATATTGTCTCCATGATCTTGTTATGAAGTAAAATTACTATAAGGTAGTCAATAATGACTCAGAAAAACTCTGACAAGGCTGTTTTACTTTATGTGTCCCTCCTTCTAGGTATAACTACACGAAGTTGGTCAGTTTTTACTGGTCCTGATTACAGAGACACAAAATGCAAAATGTTTTTCTTGATATAAATAAAAACCAGTGTAATACCTTGATCCTCCCCTCTGCCCCTCCCTTTACTATTACCTTTTTGTTTGCCCTCCTGAGACCAGAGTGCGATCATATCGTGAATCCTCTCCTCTACACACACGGCCGTCAGTCGCGCCTCGGAGTCGTGGTCCCAGCACTCCTCCATCGTCTCCTTCAGAATGTAAACGGCCTTCAAACAAAACATTAGGAATTTATTGATTCTTACAAGTACAGTAATGTACATCCAAGAAAACTGTTCACTCTGCACATAAAAAATAAAAACATGCTTCACAAAGTCTCTTTTTCATTACTTAATTGATCTAAAGTATCTCATACTCTCCAGCTGCATCATACATGTACAGTAAAACATGCTTATAGTGAGCTCATGCTTATAGTGAGCTATGCATGCTTATAATGAATACTGACACTGGTAGCAAAGTGGCTTTTATACATGTTGTGAACCAAATGGATAAAACAATCACAATTACCTACCTGATTGTGACTTTGCCAGACCTCGGGGAGCTTAGGTCTCACTTTGTTCCTAGAAACCAGAATCTGCATCTCTTCAAAAGTTGGCTGAGAGCCAGCTTCCTGTTGGTAAGGCATCTGGTAATCTGGGACAGGACAGCCTTAAATGATAAGCATTACACAAATTGTATGTGAAACTCTGATTAGAATGTAGCTCTACAGGGATTGACACAAAGTTTAGGCTACCTAAAATTGAAATTCTGGTTCTCAGGCCTGCGCGCATCCGTTTTGAGGTAGCCGCATTGCTAATTTTATTGTATTTTTGATTAAAAAAAAGTTGGTATTGCGGAGACCAATCCAGAATAAAAAGTTCTGTCCTCATTTTTCGTAGTTTAGTACTCAAATATCACTTCAGGTAGCCATTTGCAAAGAGATTTTGGCTACTTCATTTGAAAATACTTTTGAAGACATTGCCTACGATGTTCACACGCTGATAAGCAATGGATAAAGCAAACCCTTTGAACAGAAATGGAAAGTATATCTGTGAATAAAAAAAATTATCTTTATTTTATAGAAAAATTCGAAAATTCAAATTAAAAAAATACCTCCCTCATCTACTTTATATAAAATGCCGCCCTGCCGCATCTATTTTGGAGAAAATTGGCCTGAGAACCAGAGAATTAACTTTCGATAGCCTTAGTAAATGAGTCATCCACTTGTTTAAAATATATCTGAACTAGTCCAGCTGCTCATGTTTAAAAAATATGTCTGAGCTAGTCCAGCTGCTCATGTTTAAACATAGGTAATCAAAGATTACGAAGCTCACCTCGACAAATGTTATCAGTGTAAGTAATGCAAATCTCACATCATATTTTCTTAATATTTAGTATTTATCCCAAAAAAATATTCTTACAAGTTGTGTTTAACCCCTTACATGGCATATATACAGATTTCTACGCCTGTAGCATGAAAAACATGTACAGTATAAACAAATATTCATAACTTTGTAAATACTGCAGATTTCAAGGACTTCAAGTTCATTGGGATTGATCTGTTCCCAAAACTTTAACCTGGTCTCTTATATAGAAAATATAGGTCAGATCCAGCATCCGAAGCAAGTCTGGTAGTGTCCATCCCTAGATACATCATCCATGCAAGTTTAGTTCAGGTAGGTCTTATAGTTACTTGGGAATGAAAATATAGGTCAGATCCAGCATCCGAAGCAAGTCTGGTAGTGTTCATCCCTAGATGCACCTTCCATGCAAGTTTGGTTCATGCAGGGCGTATAGTTACTTGTGAATGAAAATATACATCAGATCCAGCATCCGAAGCTAGTCTGGTAGTGTCCATCCCTAGATACATCATCCATGCAAGTTTGGTTCAGGTAGGGCTTATAGTTACTTGGGAATGAAAATATAGGTCAGATCCAGCATCCGAAGCAAGTCTGGTAGTGTCCATCCCTAGATGCATCATCCATGCAAGTTTGGTCCGGGTAGGGCTTATGGTTCCTTGGGAATAGACCTGCTCCATAAACTTTAACCTGGTCACTCACCTGTAAAATGTAGTTCAGATCCAGCATCCGAAGCAAGTCTGGTAGTGTCCAGGGCTCGAGCTGTGATTCGCCATTGTCGCCAATTGCGAATTTTTTTCAAAAGTGGCGAAAAGAAATTCACTAGTGGCGAAATTGAATTTTTTTGATGTACCATGTACAAAATTTGAGTATTCCTGGTTAGCTCCTTTGTTTATTCAATGTATACAGATAAGTCCCTATGTTTATTTAATGCAGCAGAGGTGTGAAAACTGAAACCTACATGTAGGAAATCACGTCTCGCTTGAACGAACACAGCCGACTAGGTAACTGGCCTGGAGCAATAAAGGGTTACAAAATTGCTTGAAATAATATAATTTGGATTAAACAAGGGGGTATAAAGTGTTATTAAGATATGAAGTTAGAAAATAAAAGATTTTTATCAACAAAATCTGGATCTATGTAGATCTTTTTTTTAAACCGAAAGTAGGGAAACATGACGAAAATTGTAAGAATGGCTTCAAATTTTACCTAATGAAAATTGAAAAATGTGTACATTAATATACACCATAAACTGACAAAGAGTGAAAAAGAAATTGGTCTGGAAAGAGAATTATCTTTAATTAGTAAATTACACTGAATTATTTACAATAACATGAGCTTGCACTATGAAACCCTGGAGTCTCCAAGTTGTTAAAATAAAGTCAACTTTCAAACCTAATTTTCATTACTTTTCAATTACTTCTTTTCACAATTGATTAATGAAATGATGAAAATTTCCACTTTTAAAAAATGTCATATTTTTACTGAGTCTTTGCCCCCCCCCCCCCCCCCTCACCGGCGAAAAAAAAATAAGCAAGAGGACATTTTCTGTCAAGAGTTGACTGCATGATGTCAATTCAATATCAAATTTATTGTATAATTCCAACATAATTTTTTTTTTAAATGGATACTACCATAATTAAAGTTTTAAACATTACAAATTTAAAACAATGTCTGTGTCAGATAAACATAATTTTGAAAAAAAGGACTAACATAAAGTGCATCAGACGTAAGTATGCCTTTCCTTTTGTCGCGAAAAGTGGCGAAAAATATTTTCGGTCCAGTGGGAGCCCTGGTAGTGTCTATCCCTAAATGCATCATCCATGCAAGTTTGGTTCAGGTAGGGCTTATAGTTACTTGGGAATGAAAATATAGGTCAGATCCAGCATCCGAAGCAAGTGTGGTAGTGTCCATCCCTAGATGCATCATCCATGCAAGTTTGGTCCGGGTAGGGCTTATGGTTCCTTGGAAATGGACCTGCTCCATAAACTTTAACCTGGTCACTCATCTGTAAAATGTAGTTCAGATCCAGCATCCGAAGCAAGTCTGGTAGTGTCTATCCCTAAATGCATCATCCATGCAAGTTTGGTTCAGGTAGGGCTTATAGTTACTTGGGAATGGACTTGCTCCTAAAAGTTTAATCTGGGACGCCGACGCTAATGCCGATGCCAACGCCGGGGGTATAGCATAAGCTCATCTCGACTTTTGTTGAGGTGAGCTAAGAATTATGTCAAGTTCTATTTTAATCTTTCAAATAAAGTGATTTTATTATTTGTTAATTGCCCTTGCCCTTTATATGTAAAGGGAAACTTCCCTGCATAACACAATTACTATTTTTGGCCACAGCTGTAATAGACACAGCTGTAATAGACAAATCACATTTATGACTTATATCATTCTGCATTGATAACAAAAAATGGCATAACATGGTAATAAAATAATGTTTTTTCAATATATAAATTACATATATATATTATTATAGTAATGTGATTTTATTGTAGTTTATTGGTATGTTCTTGAAAATTTGTATAACAATTATATATACAGTAAAACTCGTTTAGTACAAACATGGATATTGCAAATTCACGGATATAGCAAAGTTATTTTGGATCCCCAATTACATATGTTTCACAAATTCCTTATACGGATATAACGAATATGGATATAGTCAGTGATGTATTAATTCATAGGTCCCAGTAACTTCGTAATAACCGAATTTTACTGTATATGAATATATATTTCCATTTCTAATTTTCTTCTCTGTGATAACTCTTTGAAAGTTAGCGGAGTTGATTTCTTGATAATTCTACCGGAATGTAAATTAGGCAGGTCGATAGGTCAGGAGCTAAGGAAGCCTAATATGCATACAAATCTCGCACACATCTGTCTCTGTGTCTGATGCTAAGGAGGCCAAATATGTATGTAAATCTCGTGCAGCTGCTAAATTTGTGTTTGACGTCATTGGGCTAGGACTATTGAAATTAGCATGTGAGATCTTGTGTAATTCAAATCTATGTCTATATTTTTAAAGTTTAAAATTACAATTTTATTTCACAATGAAATGGAAATATAAGGAATCACTGTCTAGTTAGTATAGTATGCCAGGGGCATCAACGATAGTGAACCCCTGTTTCCCACTATTGTTGATGTCCTGGCATACTATACTAACTAGACAGTGATTCCTTAAGCATGTCTTGATAAATCTGGCTCAATTGTCAGCAATTTATTGAAAAGTCTATTTAAAACTTTTGACACTTGTGCAGGAGACTATGTATAAATAACTAAAATATGGCTGTAAGAAGTAAATTTGTAATTAAGGGGCTTAAGTGGTTTCATAGTCATTTACTGGAAGTACCAGTAACCAAGCCATATTACTCAAAACCTCCTTTACTGGTTACATTTATAAAAACCAAATAAAAGTTAATTATAATAGTAAGAAATCTGAAAAGATTGAGATATCATCTTCATCTTAATCATTATGAAAAAAGAAATAATTATCAAATACGTTTTTGTTTGTCAACTTACCATGATACAAATCCTGACATCTGGTGGCAAGTTCCCACAGCACTAATCCGAGTGAGTAGACATCAATTTGTTTTAAGGAGGCTTCGGACTCCCTTAAATTAGCAGCACCATCTAAAAGCTCCGGGGCCATATACCTTAAAGTCCCAACCTGTTTTCAGAATTAAAAAAGAAATGAAAAACTTTGTACAACCTGATAATTTATGTTACGTATTGTTACGTTTCACGAAGTGTACCTGTGAAATTCGGGTTAACTCTTGTTTACAAGTTTGGAATATATGGAACTTGAACCCGATGTTTATAAACTCCGTAAATATTTGTCAATGAACAGTTAACGAAAGAAATGAACAATAATTGATTTAATGACTTTATTAATTTCACATGTATAATTTAATGACAAAGTGATGTATTTTGTATGTTTTATATGGGTACAACGTTATTAATTTAGTAGGTAATTTTGATGGTTAAAACCCGCTAACTTATTGATTGTATTGATTGTGACGTAATAGGTATCTGATTGTCTCTTACGTCATCATAACAACTTTTGTCTATATAAACCAGCTGTTTTGGGTTTAGACTTCAGTCGGCTGTGGGGAGCGACTCGTAGCACACAGCCTTCCCTGGTTTGGGGAACGACTCCGTATACTTCGGTTATAAGACGGTACCAAGTCTATGTATACGAAACCATAAAGGGAACCAAGTTTTTAGGAACGTCCTGGATTGACCATCGGTTGGTCACCTTTTTGTTAACCCAATAACGTTGTACCAACCAAGTTACTGTGTACCATTTTGTGTGTTTATAAGTGAACCATTTGATCGTCTTAATAAATGTTATAAACTTTTAACAAGTGTTATTCCTAACAAACATTATTTAAAGTGACCAAAAATTGATCATTACGTCAACCAAAGAAGTAACCAAAAGTTGGTCATTACGTCAACCAAAGAAGTGACCAAAAGTTGGTCATTCCATTAACCAATTAAGTGACCAAAAATTGGTTATTAACCATTATATAAACTGTGACCAACGTTACCATCAAATCTCGACCAGTGACCAGAAAAACCAATAGCAGCCCACGAGTTTATTACACGATACCCTCGGTTCCGTTACAGTATATTGAACTGTTCAAATTTTCAAAGCCAATTTCACATAAGAAGCCAGAGGCCAATGACATTTTTGAGCTATGATAAGTGTCAAAATAAGATCACTTTACTGTGGATAAGAATTTGAAAATTCTGCAATTTAATTTTGTGCATTTTGAAGAAAATACATGGCAAAAATGTATAAATAATTATCATATATTTTAAAAGCACTAAAAGCAAACTAGGTATGGGTATCGCCGAAAATTTCGTATCGCGATATATCACGATTTTTTCCTACAATATCACGATAATATCATGATATTTTTAAAAGCAGTTTTTACAATGATTTTATATGAAAAGTCATTATTTTTTTTAAAAATATGCTAGAAAAACAAAATTTTACTTTCTTGAAATTTTTATGTACATAAAATCAATTATGTTTGGACGGTAAGATGCCGTTCTTTTCACTTTTTACAACATTTTTCTATACATTCTGTAATTGTAATTTGAAAGATTGAACAAATAAATGAATAATTTGTGGACTTTATAATATGTACCTAAAGACCGGTATTTAGGTTTCCGTATCACGATACGTATCACGCAACAAAAAATCGCGATATACCGGTATACCGATAAAATCGCACATCCCTAAAGCAAACAGAGCTCAATAACTGCTAAACAACAAACATATTATCAACAGTCACCAGTGCTATATTAAACATACAGACATATCAATAGTCACAGGTGCTCTAACATACAGTCATATAATCAATATTTCTACTTACATCTTGTAGAGAGGCCTGTTCAGCATACTCATATTGGCCATTCCTGATCAACTTTGACCCCATGGTCGTTATGGCAAATCCAAGGTCACCAATGACACAAGTAAGGTCATCCTGTACCAAGATGTTTCGACTGTTTAGATCTCTGTGTGCAATCGTAGGCTTGAACTGGTCTGTTTAAATCAAAGAAACCATAAGAAAAACATGAAAACTTTCCTATTCTGAGAATTTGAGAGAAGTGAAGTCAAGGTCAAAAGAGAGGCCAAGGTAGGAAAATGTTGCTCTGATCAATATGTATCAGTATGTAAGGTTGGATAAAAATATCTAAAGTTTCTTTGAAATTTACATATTAAATACTAATTTAAGAAAGTGGGTCGAAAATGTTGATGCACTTGAAAAGACTGCTTATTCTAAAGTTCTAAAGTGTCAGCGGATAAGAGATGGCAAAATGTGATTCCGTAAGAATGAAACATTTGGTAAGTTTTTGTCCCTGTGTAAAAAATTCACTCATCTATCCAATCTTTAAAAGTAATTGAGCCTAGGCCCGAAAGGGCCGAGGAATATTGCTTTTCAGGAATGGGGTACTACAAGTACATTAACCTGCGTAAAATCTACCTGTTTGTCTACCACTGAAAGTGGGGGATATCATTTCGGTCTGTCTGTCTGTCCACCCACCCTTCCATCAGTCTTTAGTTCTATCTGTCTGCAATGCTTTCATTTCCACGATATCTCGAGAAGACTTTGAGCTTTACAGTGAAATTTTACAGAGCAACTGTCTATGGCCTAAGAAAGTCAAAGGTCAAAGGTCAAGGTCACATTCTGTTTGTGTCTAAAACTTTTACTTTCGGGTGATATCTCAAAAAGCTTTTGAGCATTTGCAATCTCAAAAAACTTTTGAGCTTTTGCAATTTTTATAGGTTCAAGTGGATGCAATTATACAAAAGGAAGATGGGTCTTAAACTTTCTTAATAGATAATGTATACCCACAAATTCCACAAATATTGAGTCACAGTATTTCACAGTATTCACTATTAATAACCTTTATTTTTTTCTTTTTACCAAATGTAAGGATGTACCGGTATTCAATAAATGTATTTTAATGATTCTGAAGATGTTTCGGTGGTGGTTGGGGGGGGGGGGGATAAATACAGGCCAAACTCAAAAAACTGCATTTCTTTTTTTTAAAACATCCCATTGAAGTTAAAAATCATTCTTACCTCCATTCCTTAGATCTGTGTGGAGATGGACTAAGCCCCTGACAATACTCAGACACATGTTACTGAACGTCTCCCAGTCTATTGTGTTGTTCTGTAGGTATCCAAACAGGCTTCCTCTCGGTACGTAGGACAAGACAATCATATACTGCCAAAATCCCTCCATGCTCTGTCGTTCATCCGTCCCGTAAAATTTCAGCAGATTTTCATGCTCTATAAATGGCAGTGAGTAGATGTACTTCTCGTTCTGGTAGAGATGTTTGTGATTTTGACTGAAGACTTTCACAGCCACTGGGATCTCCCCTAACTGTCCTTTCCAGACCTCCCCGTTCTTTGTCTTACAGATCAGAGACATGATTCTGAGATCCTCGGACTGGAATCCAGGGAGGGGTGGGGCCTCCACCAAGTCCAAGGGGCTGGGGGGTTGTTTACGGGAGGACAGACAGATTCGGTACAGCAGGAAAGACCCCATGACAATCAGAGAGATGGAACAGATGGACACCAGGGAAATGATGATGGTTTTTTCCTTGTATAGTCGATAGGAATCCACCGACAAATAGCTGGAAGCTGAAATTGAAAGAAAAAGTGTGAAAATTTTCTGATAATTTTTCTCACTGATTTTTAAAGGAAGATTTAAGGTCAGATGACACGTTCCCCAAATATCTGTTTTGAATATGTTCATAATTTATGAAAAATATACAAAATTTGATTTACTTTCTGATTTCTAAACCAGTTTCTAATTGTTTTTAAAAATTTGGAACACTAAAAATGTGATTTTGGCAAACTAAGTTTTTTTTTTCCCCTTAAGGATTAATATAAGAAATGCCATCCTCTGGTATCTCGCACAAATGCCTGTTAAGGTACCTCAATTTTTTTGTGAGTAAACATGTTAAAGTAGTAATTCTTCAATGACAAAATCTTGGACAAAATTATATATTATTGAGGAACATCTTGTCTGTCCTTAATTAATCATTGGTCAGATTGACATGCAGTCAGTGTGTTAACCTTGTATTGTTGACTTGCAAACACAAACCATCAAAACCATCACAACTTGACATACAGAGCTGTATTGATGTATTCTACATTGTATTACCTTATTTGAAATTGGACAAAATCTTTTTACATTTTACCATTGGAGTTACATTGAAGTCATGAAAACAGATCAGAATATGGTAAAAAAAAGAATAAAATGATCTGAATTATTTCAGTTTAAAGAATCTAAGGAATATTTAAGGAATAAAATATCCCTATACAGATATATACTTACTATTTCCCATAAAATAATTCTCCATTGATAAAATAAAAAAGTGATTGAAAACACCTTTTGAGCTGACAAGCAGGTAAAGCTATTGGAGATCCTATTTCTTATCAGCAACAAATTTATCCCTTATATTGTCATCAAAGCTCACTATCTATTGTCCAATCAAAAAACTCCTATATTAATATCACTATATCAGAATTTTTATACAACCATGTTGTTTATAATCTATTATAATGACTTAATGGGTCACTATTTAGATATACTAACAGCTTAGATATTATCTTTTTTATCCCCCCCCAATAAACAACCTTGATTATACAGTTCAATAGGAAGCAGTTTGGATGCCAATTTTCACTGATAAAAAATATCTTAGCAGAATTGTGTAGAGAGTTTGAAATGTGAAAAACAACATATTTTCAGTATATTGGACACATGCAGGTATTGAATAGTGAAGTGTTGTCTGGTTTCCTCATGAATATCAAGTTCATTTATAAACTGTAAATTTGGTTTATAAACTATACCAATATTTTATCAGGTGCCATTTCCTAAGAAAAGTAAACTGATTCAAAAATGGAATATTTAAACATGTATTAATTAATAGGATATCTACTTCAACATCATCATAAGACCACTTCATATAGATTTTTATTAATGCATTTTAAAATATATTTTTTCATAATTATTAAGCAGCATGATAAACATCTTTAAAGCCAAAAAAAAAAAAAGATTTTTATGGAACATGTATAATACATTGATAGTATTAATTAAGTGTTACTGCATAACTGTAGTGTTATGGTTCTATCTTTTAAGTCTTTCACCTTGCTTGATACAGCTAGAAGTGGTGCAAAAATATTTACAGTGCAATGTTTTCTGTTCTCCTGATTCCATTGGTTAATCAACCTCCTTTCATTCCCTAATTCTAAATACATGGATTCATTAACCAAACTGTATATTTTATCTACCTCCCAACCCTGTATAGTTGTCTTTATGGACCAATAAATGTGCTTTGATTTTTTAGTTGGATGGCAGAAATTCAAAACAATCAAGTTAATTGGTCTATAGAGACGATTATAAAAGACTGGGAGATTAATGGTGTGTTCCCCGAACGTCTAAAACCTATATAAACAGTATAATTATCACACCCAATTAAGAGGTCCTCTGAGGGGTACAGGTAGAGTTTACCTGTGTTACCTGTGTTAAACTGTATGAATAAACTACCTGCATTTATATGACTGTGTCAAAGACTTATAAGTTATATAGGAAAAATCTTACCGATAAGTCCTATAAAATGAATTAAATGTTGTTCAGTTTTTAAAATATTTTTTACTCAAATGTTCAAAGTATTTACTGGGTATTTAGAGTCAATCTATAATTAACAATGTTTCAAAAATCTTACCAATAATTCCTATAAACTGAATTAAATGTTTTTCAAATGTTAAAAATATTTTTCTACTCAAATTTTTAAAGTATTTATTTTAATTTTGTAGTATAAATCTACCTTTATTTAAATTAGAAAAAAAGTTTATTTTATTGTGCTAATTGATCTTGACATTGTAGATATATTCTATTTATTTTTTTTTTTCAATACATCCATTGAATTCTTTTATTTTTTTTATGGTACTTAATAATTTTATTGTCCGTTTTTAGCTAAAGTTTTTAGCATTTACTCTGAATACAGTATTTATACATTTAATATAACAATTTATCATTTTCAAAATCATTTTAAGTCTCCATAATTAAACTTAAATCTTAAGATTATTAATTTTTTTTTATGTATTTGTGAAAATGTACAAAGAAGCATATATGTAGCATTCAAAAATTTGAAAACAAATCATTTTACTGTGAATTTTGAATATAATTTCAACTAACAAAAAAAGAAAAATAAATATTACATTTGATTTAGAATATTAAATCAAGATAACACTGGTAACCTCTACCTGTGCCCCTCAGAGGGCCTCTTAATTGAGTGTGATAATTATACTGTTTATATAGGTTGTTAATAGACACATATACTCTAGAAAGGGGAGGAGGTAATCGACCATAGCTGCAGAAATGTAGCTCTCAATCTGCTTGAGAACAGTATGATAGAAAAAGCAGAGGTACAGTTCCAAGCATTGTAAAAACCTTCGATTTAAGCTGCTGCATTTTTGTCACTCACTTCAGGTATTATTTCTTATATTTTATGTTTTCCTCAGCTCAAAAAATGATATCCGATAATTAATCAAATATTCAACTCCTTCCGAGTTTCTAACATTATATTTACTTTAAGGCTTTCAACAGTTCCAGAAGGCCGTTTGTGGTTATGGACGTAAACATGGGAATCTTTTAAACTGACATTCCAAAACCATTGAGGACAGTTTCGGACCGTTAAAAGGTAATTAAAGTACCAAAAATAGGAGTAAAATATACGATTTATTATCAGATTCCATTCTAAGAGCAAACCAAAGCATAAACTAAAAGTAATAATACCTGACTTGAGCAGCAAAAAATCGGTGAAAATCGAAGGTTTTTTACAATGCATGGATCTGTCCAAATTTTCTCAAGCAGAGAGCTCAAGTTCTGCAGCTAGACTGCCCAATGCTGAAACTAGGAGGAATTCTCCCAAACAGTGTGCAGAAAATCTTAATATATACCTGCCATAAATTGCACAAATGGCCCGACCCCACAATCATAATCTAAGAATAAACTTAAAGTCAAAATTTTGATTTTTATTTAATATCTTGAGATTTGTTTAACGTATTTGCTTAAAAATTTGTATGTTTAAATTCATGTGATAAATATTTTCTTTTGCTATCAAACGTCCACTGGTGTAAAATTTTGAATTAAGCCCATTCTGAGTGTAACAGGAAGGGAGAAAATGTATGGCTGGACCAGGAATCGAACCAGGGATCCCAGTATTTCCAGTCAGGTCCCCTGCATTTTCTCCTCTCCCGTTACATTTGGTGCCGTGCCATGCCCTGGAACTGACAGGTGAGAGGCCTTCCAGAGAGAGCCTGGGTTGGCGTCTTTGGAGGGCCAAAGACCTTTAAGGAGGGAGGAATGTGGCGGTCAGCCAGGTTCGATCGCCGGTGGCCAGATAGCTCAGTTGGTAGAGCACCTGACCGGAGTTTCACGGGGCCCAGGTTCGACCAATGCATTCTCCTCTCTCCCATTACATGAGTACATGGACTTAGATTGGATAGTAATTACAATGAAACAAATACCCACCTGGAGTTATAGAGTCCACTGGTGAAGACACGCTGATGTTGACATCTGAGATGTTGTTGTTACATAGGTTGCCAATACAACAGCAGAACTTGGCTCTTTTGTGGGTGCCTAACATCTTGTATGGAGTACTTGACCTACAAACACCTTCACTACACCAGCCATTGTCCGGCTTAGACTGGAAGCATCCTAAAAGGAAAGAGCAATTCATATGATTACCACTTTTATTTTCTTCTCTAGAATAAAGAGCAATTTCAACAAAACTTGGCACACAGCATCCATTGGTAAAGGGATCCAAGTTTCTTCAAATGAAAGATCACATCCGAGAAATTAAAGGCCCAGTGGCCAGAACTCTCAAATGAGTCAGTTACATTTAGTACTTGCCTTGTTTGATTATTGTTAAGGACTCTGTGTCATTTTCCTGGTCATAAGACCAGATGGTAAAGCATGAATCGTCCTCTTTCTCACATTTCTGTAGCTGTTTGCCCATCTCCTGTGTGGTAGAGTCCTGAGAGGCCAGTATTGGAGTGCTCGATACCTTGGATGTTTTGAAGTTGTTTGGATGATCATAGAAAGCACATGTTAGAGATGGCCCTGAAATTAATAAATCTGTATAACAAAGGCTACCATATTTACTCTCAAGATTTGAAGAAAATGTTCCACCTGTATCATAATTATATGTATATATCCACTTTTGACTGCAAGAAAATAACTGTTAATAGCTACAATTTAGGCTATAAAAACCAAGGAGCAGATCTCAAACAAAATGTATATAATACATCCCCCCCCCCCATGGTACCCCTGACCCTGGGGCCTTGAAATCACAATTCTGGAAGAGTGCTAAAAACAGCCTCTTATACCCAAGAGCAGAGAAGAAAATTTTCTGTGTATTTTCACTATATATGAAGGGATACCAGTGCAGGCCAACAAAATTTTGGAAGAGGTAGCCAGTCATAAAGTTGTGTACACATAATTATTTGAAACATGTATTTGTTATATTTGAATACCATGAATATGTCACAATTTTGGTAAAGGTCCACATCAAACTACTCACTTAGTTAATTTATTTAATCCAGGAGCAGAGAAGAAGATTTTCAAAGAATTCATATATTTTCACTATATTCTAGAGCCCCACCCTAACACCATGACTCCAATTTTTGAGTTCATCATAACTATGCACTTAGTTAGTCTATTTAATACCCAGGAGCAGAGAAGAATATTTCATAAAATATATTGCAATACAATGACGAAAAATATCGTATCGCAATACGATTTTGTAATATCGATATATTGGCAATATGCTTAGATTAAGGAATTTTGCCATTAATGTAGAAATTAATGTATGGAAGTTTGTTATTAAGCCAAACAGTAAGACAGAAGTTGTTTTGTGGGGACATTTCAGAGCATAACTTAAATGAAATCAACAAGATTTTTTGTACGCGTTGGTTATTTATCATAGTTATGTACATTCTGCATGTAAATTAAAGTAAATTTAGAAAGATAATGCCATTTAAATTACATTGAAAATATTTAAAACAATACATTTTATCGCAATACAGTTTAAAATATCGCAATATATCGCAATCCCTGTATATCTTACAGTTTCTCAGTCCCATGACTCCAATTGAGTTCAAGAAACAAGGAATGTTTGTGAAACACTTAACCCCCCACCCCCCACCCCCCAAAAAATAACTAGAATTTTTTAAAGTCCAAGGAACATACTGTAAATGTATGTTATTTGGCTGCGTATTCTTTTTAGCACTTTTGGCGGAGAGAAACTTTCGCTAATTCAGTACAACGCTAAATGTCTTCCACATATACACATAAATAAGAACATTGAGGAATGTGCTAAATCTAATCCATGCTAAATTGTTCAAAAATCAATTTCCACCAAATATCGTACATGCTTAATATAATACATTTACAGTATATCTGTCTAAAAAATTGCTCTATCTCACCAAAAACAGAAAAAACCTAGATATTCTTATGATAACTCTGTATACCAAATTCCATTTCAGTATGTGCAACCCCTGCAAAGAAAATGAAGGGAAATTGTTGGTAGAACAACCAACAGACAGACTGACAGCAAAGTAGTATGGCCAACCTTCTTTGAAAGGAGACATGAATATCAAATACATATTGAATAAACAAAACAATTTCCCATGCAGATGCATTGTACTTTTAAAGTATACATAAGTAGCATTTAAATTTGACATTGAAAGTAGCTGAAAGCAGAGAAAGAAATAATTTTTTTTTTAAATCTACATTTCATGATTAAACAAGAGGCCTATGAGCCACAAAACTTGCCTGAGTGATGAGAAAAGTGATCAGAAAAGCTCAATTGAGCTTTCAGCTCAGGTGAGCTGAAATTAATTTATCATATGTACTAGGAACACGTGCTTTTGTTTATTATGTGCTAATAAAAGCGAGAGTAGCTATTGGTCAGTATTTAAAGGCCGATACCTGTTGAACAGGTGAACAGGTATTCAATTTAATCAGGCTTTTAATTCATTCGAAGGCTTTGCTTTGCGACATTCACACCCACCCACCCACCCTCTTACTTCACCCTCTTACTTGTATTTTGTTTAATAAAGAAAGTTTATTTGAAGGATTGATCAAACTGTTTTCATCACAAGAAAATTAAAAAGTTTGCACTGAACAGATTAATTATATAGAAGGGAAACAATTTGCTTAGTCGCTCTAGATAATTTTATGTAAAATTTCATATAAATGTAAGATTGTTGTTTAATGGTACATATTAGCTACATCTAGTCGAAATGTGTTTACAGATTTACAACATTTATGTAACTTACATTTATTTTGCACAGGTTTTACTTAAACTAGTCGATTAATTGTACATTATAATTTATGACACTTACGTAAGTTTGTGAGAATGAGTCTGCCATTCATTTTGTTTACCTCGCAATTGCTGCGGACTTACAGGTTTCCACAGTTTTTTCAACATAAATCGATGTTGTTTTTTTTATGGTTTTATGGCGAGGGAAGCATAATTGTGTTCATACATGCATTATATTATGTTTTTAATCAGTGAAGTGAGGACATATAAAAGCATTGTGTTAAAATGCATTTTGTACTGTGATTAATTATTTTTTGATATATTGTAGAAGGAAGGTAGAGAATCGGTACCATTGAAGACTTGTGTTTTGTAAATGTATACGTCTAATAAACACTGGCAAGCAAGCGCTTCCATTCCTATATAGACAAGTGTTCTTGTTTTGATTGTAAATAATTTATGTTCGTTTGAGTGAAACGAATTAGAACATAGACAGATTTTTTCTCTCGGAAATGTCCCTATCATTTAATTCCCGAAGTACTAACAATTCAACGTTTATGTTTATGTCTATCACTTCTTAAGTGATAGACACAGAAAGGTTAATATATAGCAAGTTTTTATGCAAATGATTTTCTTTTTTTTTCTTTTTATAGAAAAAAAATTAACAAGTATGTCAAACTTCATTATCATTTCTATGCCAAATTCATATCCTTCTTAGCATCTGAGTCGATCTGACATTTAATTCCACAAAATGTATGATTTTCCTACTGGTATATAAATTAAACTCAAATGTACTTGAAAAAGTTATTTGTATTGAGTCATAATCGGTACATTAAAACTGTACTTCTGCTTCTAGTGCCATCTACTGCATATCTGCCCTTCCTCAAGATGCAATATTCTTAGTAAAATGGCCATCCATGTCAGGTAACTGGTGAGTGTAGAGAAGTTTTAATGTATATTCTGGAAACTTGACATCAAATGGGTGCATCACCACATTGAACTGACTGAAGAGTCAATTAAGGCCAATCACAATTTCTGTTACTCCAAAAAGGAAGTGATTGTCAAAGATCATACTGTAAATATACTACATTTGGTGTGTATGGCGGAAATTCAATCTTCAACAAGTTAGCGTACTTGCCGTAGATTTGATTTAGCGCTGTCTGAAGTTGCTAGTTACAAAAGTTAATAAACAAGACATTTAGCAATGTACTTAAATTAGCTGACTCTGCTTTCCGCCAAAATCGCCAAATAGAATACACCACTAAATGTAATATAGTATTATTACACAAATTGATTTGAGTAACTGCAATACAGCCAAGCTTTAATAACCTGTATAATAATAATCTGGAAAATTTATTTATCTGAATGATTTGCCCAGAAACCTATGAGTCCTGATAAATGAGGCTAGATTGTTTTGTGTTATTTATAAAACCCATACAAGATTTTTATCACATGTTGATAGGCTACATAAGTAATTCACTGGTATAAGTCCTAGCAAAATGTACTATTAAAACTACCACTGTACAATGATTGTCATATATTTACCTTTGTTGATTTCTGGCTGGACATCCAGAGCTGATTCTTGATCATTCTCAGAGTAAAATGGCCATTTTGTATTGGTCTGCTTTGATGGCTTTAAAAAAAATTCAAAAAATAACTTGCACTTGCAAATACTTATAATCGTTTAAAAAAGCTCATCAGTATACTTTAAACAAGAGGCTCATGAGCCACAACTTTCATCTGAGTCACCTAGGCCCTGTTGTTCTTCAGAACAGTGGCCCCATTCTAGCACCCCCCCCCCCATTTTAACACAGTTTGGGGATGCTTACCCGGTACGAAACAAGAGATGTTTGCAAAACACTTATGCCCCCTACCCCAAAAAATTGGAATTTTTTGTAAGTCCAAGGGGTATAACTCTGTCCCAAATTGCTTGATCATAGCCAAAACAGAACTTGGCCTAGATATTCATATGATAGATCTGTTTACTGAATTTCATTTCAGTATGTACAACCTCTGCAAAGAAAATGAACGAAAGTGCAAATAAATGGAATTTTTCTAAGTCCAAGGGGCATAACTCTGTCAAAAATAGCTTGAACGTACCCAACAGAAAACTTGACCTAGATATTCTTATGATAAATCTGTATACCAAATTTCATTTCAGTGTTGTGATGAAAATGAATGGAAACTTGTTGGACCGACAGACAGAATGACCAACAGACAGCAGCAAAGCAATATGCCCTCCCTTCTTCCAAAGGGGGCATAAAAATATCAACTGATGTCCATGCTGTTATTAAGATGATTTTTAAAGTCTTTTCCCAAAAAATTCTTCTGTAAAACTTTCTTTCTCTATGAGGGCCCCATTGTGAAATTTCCCCAAAACTTTGAGACCATAATTTAATCATGTACATTTGTCAGTGATATAAAATGGAGCTGTCGAGATTCTTCATAAAAACAACAGAATACATTTGACAGCTGATATTGAACTCACTTGTTGGAACAGAGATGATGATTTCCTGCTGACAGGGGGAGATAATCTGGCTGTGTTGTATGTTTTATATGTCACAATGACACCTTTCTTCTGGACAACATTGCACTGGTCAGTGCTACAGCAGCAGAACTTGTGCTCTGATTGGCTGGACTTCACATTCTGTTCACATGAAGTGACCATACATTCGTCTTTGTGACTTCCCATGCAACCTACAAATCAAATACAAGTTTAGCTTTCAATAAAGCTCAAGAAAGGTCCAAGAATGACAGAGCTGCATATCCTATACCCCACCCCCACCCCTCCTCCCCAGCATTAACTCATAATCATAAGCCTCTTTAAAAAAATATTTTGCAGTTGTATTAACCTGACCCTCTCCCCATCACTACCAATTTCAAATTCAAATTAAAAGAAAAGAGATGCCTATTAAAGTATTTAGCAATAATATCTTGAACCCCTACCTCATATCTACCAAAAACTATTCAACTATAGGGGCCTGTTTCAACAATTCTGCACTCTGGCTTCAGTTTTTTTTATAGGGGGTTCATTATTTTGCTGTAATACTTTGAACTAAAGAATTATTTGACACTGACTTGAAATTCAAATCTCTTTGTGTGCAACAATTTTCATTCTATGCATCTCAATATGATTCTAGATTCTTTGAAGTCCGAGAAACTGAGTTTTAAAAAGATGACATTTGTACCCCTATAAAAGTACAAAAATAATTATGTACATTTTGGAAAAATCAAATTACCAACTAATAAATCCTTATATGCCTGTTTTTCAAACTTACCGTAATATGAAATTTTAAGTGATTTAATTTTGACATCTTCCAATGATAGTATAAGCTTCATACAAAAAGTTGAAGAAAAAAAAAAACTTAAATATCAAACAAGTGTGAAAAACATGATTTTTTTCTTTAAATGTCTGGGTATTACTGTATAATGGGTATTTTTAACGTGCTGCTAATTAATACAAATTTTTATGAGTTTTATAAATTAATCCATAAAATTTAAACACGTAAAATTTCACAGAAGTAAAAAATGCCTTGCATATATTTTCAACATCATATGTATAAGAGTAATGCTATTTGCCATTCATCCAAGTCCCAGGTGGCTATAGAATTAGTACTGTTGGTATTTTTAAGCACTTTTAGTTGATAATCAATTGGGATCAAACAGGTAAATCATAATTTACTTGCACAAGTTAATTCTTTACAACTTACTGCACTGTTATGCAGCATAGTACACTTAATGTTCTCGTCATAGAAATATAGATGATGTTACCTTTCCCTGCAAGCACTTTATAGCGCGGTACAAGGTTTCTCTAACATTTAGAGTAAATAAAATTATGACATAATATTTAACAAGATTATAACTTTTCTCATTTTATGAGATTTAAGCAAGTATAAAATAGAGGGGAATTAGCATTAAATTGAAGGTTATATGTAATTTTGAAAGTGCATGAAAAATGTGTGATTGCAGGTAAAGGGTATATGCATTATTTTGCGTTAGAAATAGGAAATGGTATATGCGTTAAAATGTGTGAGTCATCTTTTATTCCCGATTCGTCAGTTTAAAATCAATCCGCGACGATTAATTTCCGTGACCGAGGAAACATTCTCTACCAATCCTTAGCAAAATGAATGCTTCAATATCTATATTTGCGAGTTAAAGGAGGTCACGGAACTCGTGGATATTTCTTGCAAGCGAATAAAAGTTGGTATACAGTACATGCATTAGTACATTTAAAAGACACATAATTTCTGATAATGACTTCATTATTATAGCTAGGTCTTCCAAATATGACAGTTTTTTTCTCAGTATTTGGCCTTTTTTCGTTTTGTGTGCTTCGAATAAAATCTTAGAATTTTTGATACACTGAAACACTGTCAATTAGATTATTATGAATTGAGTTGTCTCTCTTTGTTTCCTGTAAAATCAAGACAAACACATGGTGCGCAGCAATAATGATACTTCGCAATATGTATTTAAAAAACAGGAATAAAAAAGGCCTGAAGAACTGGAATTTTACCTCCGACAATTTTAATTTTTACATACATATTCAATTGGTAAAAGATTAACGCATAAAAATTTAAATCAACCAGACAATAGTCAAACATGAGTCTGTTTTCTCTGTCACAAGATCTCTCAATTAAGTGGCTACAGATCTGTAGCGTTATGGTTTTAAATATTCGTCTTTGACCATAACGCTACAGATCCTGTACTGCAAAAAAGGTGCAATTTACGGCGCAATATTTTTTGCACACTCTTGGAGAGAATTTCTCCACTTTCCAGCATTGGTTAATTAACTACCTTTCACTTCCTAATTCTAGGCACATTATTTAACTAATCTGTATATTTTGTCCATCTCCCAACCCTTTATAGTCGTCTCTACAAGTGATAAACTCGCTTGATTATAATTATTTGTGTAGAATTAGGGAGTGAAAGATAGTTGATTGATCAATGCTATAGAAAGTGGAGAAATTCTCCCAGAAAGTGCACAAAAAATATTGCGCCGTAATTTTTTTGCATAACGGAATCTGTTGCGTTATGGTCAAAGACAAATATTTAGAACCATAACGCTACAGATCTGCAGCTACTTCATGATTTCATTCAACTGATTATTATCACTTACATGTCTAATGTATTTTATATTTCATTGCATAACAAATAAATCATGGTTATGTCTGCCCAAACTTAACATTGTGTTGTCTTACTTTATGTCACGGCTGCAGTTCCTAAGTTTAAGGTTAAGGTAATTAATTGAGAGATCATGCGACAGGGAGAACACTCATGTTTGACTGTTGTCTGGTCTTGATGCATTTTTTCCTCTGCTGTTCCTATTTTAGCTTGAAATTGATCTTTTTTTAAAGGAATATTTGACCTCACTAAGGCATGTTTGAGGAAACAGTTCGAGATTTGATGTTTCCAACATATCATCTGATTTTTAATGATTTACCAGACAGAAACGGTATTTATAAACACATAATTTGGTGAATTCAAAGACTTTTTAGTGAGATATCATTACAGTACTTAAAAATGAGTCAACAGCAAAAATACAAGAACCCTTAGGGAAGAAAAACCTTAATGATGCCTTTTTATTATGGTAAACTGCAGTTTCTTAATTTCAGTAGTAACAGGAAGTTTGATCTATGTCATTTTCATGCATGACTCACCCTGTTGCAGAACAATCACATGATCAGGCTTTTCCTGTCGCCATGACGCAAAGCAAGCAAATGGGCAGTCTATCGTCTGGTTGTCATGGTTACTACCAGGTGATGATTCTAATGATACATATTTCTGGCACATGATACCAAATGCATTACCTAAAAAAATTACAGACATATTATTATTAAATTAGTCTGCACAAAAAAAAATGATTGCGTCCAACTCAAATTTAAAGATCGGAGAAGCCATTGTGTTAATTTTTTTAAGATTTAAATAATTAAGCATCAGTTTGCTAATAATTTAGATATCAATCCATCCATCTTTAAGTTCTACAATCTACTTAGTTCATTGAATAAATAATTAAATGAATCTTTACACGGTACATGTATCTTTGTTTAATAGTATAAAGACATAGGGAATACAAGTGTACTTGCAAAATGTAATGTTCGTCTCATGTGCGTACTAATTTTCCCCACCTCTAAATTAAGCATTTATATCTACCAGGTAATAACTATTTTGAATTAAAAATAAATAAATGTCAGCTTGAGTTATCATTGCTACCTTAATTTTCTCATTACAGATGGGGTACATTGTCATTATCTTAATAGTGATGGAGGGCATTTACACTCCATGTGATGTCTTTTGTGTAATGAAATAAATACAAAATCAATCTTTTCAAAATGAAGAAATTAAGCTTTAATATCTTTTATTTTTCATTTATACTATTTTTTTCATTAAAAAAATGTTTATAACCCTTGACCAATTTTCTTGGCACCCAAGTTTAAAGCACCCATTTGGGAAGATATGTGTATGCATGCATGGTTTCAATCGATATTGTATTGCACACATCTACATAATAGACATTAACATAAAAGTCACATTATCTTTATAAATTCATCTCAATGATGGAACCAGCTTCATTAAAAGTTGATGGTACTCTGTCACCTTCCGTGCTATTGTGAACACTCTCATTGATAGAAAGGCCAAAAATGCCTTTGCCAGGAAGCAATATATTTTTGAAAAGAAAGGGCAAGCTAGTGCATCTATATACATAAATATGTACTAGTATATTGATTACAAAGAAAGTAAATCTATTTAAAAACTTTATCATAAATACTAAGGAGAGTTTCAAAGAAACAGATATGCAATTCCACAGGCATATAAAATATAGAAAGCTGGAGGAACATGTATTCTCAGAGCAGAAAACAATAATGACCTTCATCTAAGAGGATAGACAAACAGACACCCACAAAACAAGGCATACAACAAAGGTGTAAATTCTAGGCTACATGTAAATGCACGTACATTACCTAAAAGCAGGAAAAAACAAAATACAGACATTCCCTCAACATTTACTTAAATGGTTGGATAACAAATAGAAGGCAGAAAGGAAAAACAATGTCAAAAAATAAAAAGACCAGAGAAACCTTTAATAAAACAATAATACCCTAGAAGATAACTTTACAAATAAGGATGGCAATCCAATAAATGTTTGTGACCAGTAAGTCATAATTTTTCTGACTGAGTAGTTTTTGGTAAGTGTCCATCTGTTTGTCTGTTAATCTGATTATCAGTAACCTTTGCCATACTTACTATTTAAATTATTTGTGCTAGGACTTTAATGTTTTATATACCGGTTTCTTGTGTCGAGAACATTCTTTGGATACATGTATGTACTAAGAAATTTGACCTTTCAAGCCTTGAAATTTAACCTACTTTTGCAAAATTTTATCAACCTTTAACCCTTGCCATATTATTTTAACAACTGGTGCTAGATATTATAAAAAGAAATGTTTGTGAAACACTTATGCCCCAACCCCACCCCTTGGTCAAACATTATATGGTGCACAAGGGAAGCAAATAATTGCCATTTAATTAACTCCAAGGTTAATAACTATGTAAAAAAAATTGCTCAATTATACCCAAAACAGACCTAGATAAAGTCTTATGATAAATCTGTATACCAAATTTCATTTTAGTATGTGCAGCCTCTTCAAAGAAAATGAAAAGACACTGCAAATAACTGAATTTTTTTTCTAATTAAAGTTCAAGGGGTATAACTCTGTCTAAAATTGCTTGACCAAAACAGAACCTGATATACATATTCTTATGATTATCTGTACTATGGCAAAAGTTCATTTCAGTGTGTGCAACCTTTGCTAAGAAAATGAATGGAAACTGCTGGTGGACTGACAGACAAACAGATAGACCAACCAACAGACAGCAGTAAAGCAATATGCCCTCCCTCCTTTGAAAGGTCATAATTAAGGAATGAATTTAATAGCTAGCCATTTTATACGGTATAAACTGGGTTGGGGCAGTTTACACTTTATAAACCGCCTCCTTATACCGTATAAAATGGGTAGCTATTAAATTCATTGCTAATAATTTAATTTTCATTCATTTAATGTAAGAATAAAAGATTATTGTTCTAACAAAATGACTTCAATTTGTGCACAATTTGAATGTAACGTTTTTGATGCATGTCATTGTGACGTAGGCAACCCATTTTATACGACATAAAATAATTTTTTATCCAATCAAATACATTGTTACAACCATAATTAAATTATATATATATAAATTCATGTGTATTCCATGAGAGCAGATCTAGAATTTTCTTTGATTATACAAACATTTTTGACCTCCAGACTTTGACTTTTGAGTTTGATCTACTTCTGAAAACTTTAACCTTGGGCCATAACTTTTGAACAGTTGGTGATAAGGCTTTCATTTATTATGTGTGTATTCTTTATGAAATTTTACAGCACCATATGCCAAGGGCTTATGAGGAGAGTAGTGTATCAGAAACAATTCTTTTGTGAAAGAGCACTCTTGACTTTGACTTAAATTTGTAAAAACCACCCATATAACTAATGGATGTCTGGTATTAGACTATTTCACTTATATATGAGTTCCTTGTTAGATGGTCTTTCCTTTAAAAAATTGGTACCAATATTTTTTACCTTACATCCTTGACCTATGAGTATGATCTGCTTTTGAAAAACTTAAACATATTTATCATATTTCTGAACAGTTGGTGCTAGAGCTTTCACATTTCACATCTCTCTGCATTCTCTGTGACAACTCAAGACCTTTCTTAACTCTCGATCTTGGAGTTTGACCTACATTTGAAAAAACTTTTCATTCATCTTTTAAAATCTGTTCCACTTTTTGGAAGATTTCTGGAATTTTCATGATACCATACATATTAATTATGACTACAATACATGAAGGAAATGTCAGATAAAAAATAAGTAAAGCATGCAGGTGAACATATAACATATATACATACTTCCTAAAATTGAGTTGAAATTTTTTTTTAAAGTATACATACACTGTAAATCATGTTCACTAACCATTTATGAAAATTGTAACAATGCAGAACTGTAAAATCTTAAAAACAAATTTCTCAACCATTGGCAATCCTTCTTATAAATGTGGTAAAAAAGGTCCTTAAGCAAACATAATTCTCCCACAACACAGCAGATTTTGAAATCAGTAAAGTTGTGGTTGGATAAAAATTTTCAAGAATAATATTGTTCTTCCTGTGTTTTAATTCAGCAAAGTCAGATTATATTCAGCTGATTAGCAGATCAATGAAATTTTCATTGAACTTCTTCCATTAAACAGGAGATAGCATGCAACAGAAAATGGTAAATTATTCTTAATGTTTTCCAAATGAATCCCCTAGGCTAGTCTAAATAAGGTGCTCCATCTCTTGTGTATTCCACTTTTTATGATTCCTTCAACATTGATTCGTTTAAATTGGGAATATGGGTGACCTAAATGTAAAATTACTGCTCTGTGTACTAATGAGGTACAAACACCCGATAGCAGAAAATCCTACTTGATGAAACATATTTCTGAATAAATATATTCTAATGTCCCATTTATTGTTACATCTTATTTGAAATACAATAAGATTTTAAGAAATGGCTACATGCAGTCATGTTACTATACAATTAACATCTTAATCTTAATCTTAAAAAAAATTGATCAATAAAAGGACTACTTGATAACTAATGTTTAAAAAAGATGGAACTCAAATTGTGTATATTTTTTGTATTTAATAAATTATTTAATCTATCTATTGTATTTTCCTCTTTCACTGTGCATTTATTTTTTTAAACCTGCCATCTTTAAATAGATAGCCCCTTCTTCAGTATAATCTTAAAAGCTTCGAACATATCAGGCTTTGAAAACATATACTCTGTGAAAAATAATGAAATGATAACATCATGCCACATACACATCTGAATATCACAATATTTTCATATTTCCTTCAGTGCATGTATCTTGCACTGCGTCCCTCTTTACGAACTATTATGTTAAATTTTGTGTATTGCAAATTAGGGCAAGTCTAGAGGTGTTCCAAACAACCGTCTAGACAAGCGACATAACATGACCTTTGGTGCACGGTTACTGGGGCTTGTAGCGAGTGTCAGTCCGTCTGGCATTGTAATTAACACACAAAACAATAAAAAGAAACAAAAAAATGTCATATAGATACAACTGAAAAAAGATAATACGTTATCAATGCCTTAAGATCAAACTAAAAATAACCTGCATTTATGATAATTATTCTAATGCCTTGCTTCAATGTCTGTCTGAAATCAGAATTAATTACGAATTTGGCCATTAGTTTTGATAAGAATTAATTATTTCTTTATCCTACCTGTGAATGATGACAGAATCAGGTACATACAGCCGATGATCGGTTGGAATAAAGACATTCTTCTCCTCCAATATTCCGACCCAGACATCGGCCATACTATTCCCTGCTTCACCGATATTCTAGGTCTATGGAATATCGTTTGTGTCTTTAACTCTGTCATAAGGTTTCGACAGAGAAGCATTGATCGGTTAATTAAGATAGATTTCAAACGATGAAGAAAGAGCAAATCCTAAAAAGTATTTCTATTCATTTTTTAAATTTATCTGAAATATTTTAATTTGAATTATTTGATATACCATTTGATAATTTTATACTTTCATATCAAAATGGGCTTTCATAATCTCTAAATCTTCGCTATTTTTGTAATTTCTTTAACAAATATTACAACTATGTACACTTTATATGCATGTCATTAACTCTGATGCTGAAAGAGAGAAAAAACATTAGAGAGAGAGAGAGAGAGAGAGCAGTAAAGACGTCATTGGTCATAATCAGATTGAGGCAATGATTGAAAAATTCTGCATGACGTCACAATTGTTAAACGTCACAATGAAGACATGTGCTCCCAGTTTTTATGTACATGCGGAACTGCCCTATTTGGTTTTCATCACTGGCAGGAAATTGATTAGGGAACAGATAGGAGTAAAAATATTAAAACCCTTTTTTTTTAATCATGACAGTTTAAAAGGATATCTATATTGAATTTGAAATCCAATTGATATTAAAAAAAAAATACTTAAAATAGTTATAGGATTATTCAGCAAATAGAAATTAAAAAAAGTTCATTCTTGCCTAAGTTGAAGTCTTCACCTTGCATTTAGTAATATATTCCAGAGCTGTTGCTGCCAAACTTTTCAATTGCAAACAAAACCTACAGTACATAGGTATTGAACATCTAAAAACAAAATCCTCATATGTGTTGTTGCTGCTCTAGTTTAAAATACCTCTGGACACATCCAGTACTGCATAGTGATGTTATTAAAATTGAAAATGAATTTAACATCGTGAAAGGTCATACATTATACCAAGTTCTTAAGTTCATTTCTTTTTTATGAATTTTGTCCAAAATTGTGCCAAACATTGGGCTAAATACAGTATTAAAAAAGAAGACCTGTACACTCTGTCAAAATGGATTTAGTTACAGAAATATATTATATAGAATCGTATCAGAAAAATTAAAAGTGAATGCGAACCATCTACCGGTTTAAATCCGTTTTCATTAAATCGGAGGTACAGACTACCAGAACAATAATACCCAAAATTTCTATAAAGTTTTGATTGAGTCTTGACTATATGCAGTTCCCTGCAATTTTGTGTTGATCCGAGTAATGTGTAGATAAATGCGCTGATTGTAAATCGGAGGAGGTGGGGGGAGGTGAAATTAATATGTTAAGTTGAAAGATATATCTTACTCTCTTTACATGTAGGTAAATCAAAACTGACTGTAAGGTTCCTAATGATTTGAAGGCAAGGTCAAGGTTACATGCTCTCATCTATGTAGCAATATTTTTAAAAATGCTTTGTTCCCCATGAACCTTTTAAACAAGGTGGATAAAGACTTTCGTCACTTCCCTCTTTGTCTGAATTTAAACCCCCCCCCACCCCCTCCGCTTAAGAAAGAAGAAAAGCATGTTCGGATCTAGATTGAGTGAGAGGGGCCATTGAAAGTTATGGTATAAAATTGCAATGCAAAAACTCAAAAGCTTCTTCATATGTCGCCTGAAAATGAAAGTTTTAGACGAAAACAGAAAACATGAATCTAAGACTTCGACCTTTTGGCCTCAAAATAGCCTTTAATAGGGGATCTTCCTCAGGCCATAGGGAGTTGTGGTATAAAATTCTATTGTAAAAGCTCGAAGACTTCTTGAGATATCGCACAGAAACAAAAGTTTAAAACAGACAAAACTGAGTTTATTACCGTGGCCTTTCATCATTTGACCTCAAAATCAACAGAGTCGTCTTTAGGCTATAGGAACATAACGTAAAATTCATTGCAAAAGCTCAAAGGCTTCTCGAGATATCGCACGGAAACGAAAGTATTGAAGATTGATAGAAATACAGACAGACGGACGGACAATAGGATAGACAAACCGAACTTATATCCACCACTTTCCGTGAAAGCAGATTGACCTCTCGAATCGTCCTTTTGCTTAGCTGCAGAACTGTAGCTCTCCGAAAAAATATATATTGATAGACCGGTCTATCAAAATATAATTATTATTTCGGAGAGCTACAGTTCTACAGCTACCTTATATGCTGTAAAATTATTTCAATCAATCAATAATGAATGAATGAAAGAATGAATGAAATAAGACAGTATATATATATATAGGGCCGCTGATACTAAAACAAATAAGTCCCACATGAGTCCTACATGAGTCCCACAGTAAAATAAAAAAAATATATATAATTTAATGTTGAATTATTGAAATGTATGACAAATAAGGTCATGATAAAAAAAAAATCAGTAATAAAAAATTCATCCATCATGTTAATAAAGATAAAAAATTAGATTTTTAAAGAAAGTAACACTCCTGGATGTAGAACATGTCAATAAAGAGTGTTTTTAATAAACTTGGAATTTTATAGTGATTTGATTTCACCAGGAATTTTATGTACAAAAAAAAAATAAAGTTGAATTTAATTTTGATCTGAAAAAATTTTCTTTTTTAATGAACAAATTTGATATACAGACTTCAGTAGCCAAACTTTAAATACTAGTAGTCCACAACTCATGATCAGGTTTTGAAATCCTGTAGTTGCATTATTGAATGTCAGCAATTTCAAAATGTAAATAAGTAAGTAAGTAGTAATTATAGTGACATTGTGCATTATACGAATTGTAATTTACGCCATAAACAAACTAAAGCTGATGTCTAATAAAAAAGGTGTTTTTCATCTTCAAGAGAAGGACTTGAACAGAATTTAACACCTGTTATAACAAAATAATAAACAAGTTTATTTTCCCCAAGTTCATCATATTCATAATATATATTTTCAGGATACCTGAATACAACTGAGTCCCAATTCTCTACTGAAAGATTTTCCATCACAAAAGTATCTTTAAGGGATTAAAAAACAAAACTTTACAGCTGGCATTCTGATTTTTGCGGTTTGATTCTTCCTTTTACGTAATTGTTATAAAATACATACCTTGTAATGTACCTCCAAAGAAATAAGATATCATTAAAATACTATAGTATACTGTTAGAACTGTTACAGAAGGCATATAAATCAGTGGACATTTAAAAGTTTAGTAAAATCATAAAAGTTAAAATTTAGATGACGTGTAACTTGAGGCAGATGTAAGAGTTATTGTTCTTTGTTTGTAAACGATCAGTAGAAAACATCTTTGAACTTCTTGCATTTTTAAAAACATAATTCAAATATAATAATAAAATTATAATATTTATGAATATTTGTTTTCGAAAAATACTGAAATTTTATCATTATTTGTGGGACTTGGAAACACTCTATTTATATGAGGGTACAGGAGTTATCGTTCTTTGTTTTTGTATTCAATTGTTGTAACCGGCTTCTAAAACCTTTTTTGTGATAAAATTTTATTCAAAATATATCTAAACAATGATAATCTATAAAGATATGTTATTAAATAATCATAAAATGTCATATTTCCTGGTGGGACTCATTATTTTTTTGTGGGACTCATGTGGGACTTATTTTCCCTGTGGGACTTGTTTTAGTATTACAGAACGGAGAAGTCAACTTTTACAGGTAAGAAGCACCTGTTATAACAAAATAATAAACACGTTTATTTTCCACCTAGTCCCAGAATATATATCTGTCAGAACAGTAAACTTCAAAGAAAAACACGGCTATCACGTCACAAAGTAAATAAATAAAATAAGAAAACGTGAAATAAATAAATGCAAAAAAAAGAAATAAATAAAGGGGGACCATAAGTGATAAAACCATATATATAACAACAAAAATAGGGTAAGACAAGCGGCTATTCAAAAAGGGTAAGTAGTCCTAGTCCTGTCTGTTATACGGAAACGGAAAATGTAAATCCGATTTGTGGATTACTTGTCATTTTTCATTTCCGGTTTAAGGTGGCCGAAAATTTCTGAAAGGGAAAGGTAATCACTTGTAGAAAAGCATACAATATTCTTAAAGTGTAGTGTATTAATTAATTTTTCACTTAGAGTCTTTTTTTGGAAAACTTCTAATGGACAACTTCATGTGGTGAAATAATAGAATTATATTTCATTTAATAGTGGTCATTTTGAATGGTCAAACAAAGGGTCTGTGCATGTTGAACGTCACACAGCCTTGTAGATTAATATATTTTAATACGCCAGTTTCGAGATTGTAACTCTCCTACGATAGAGGCGCAAAAAGTACCCATTTCAGCATGGAGGTGGGACAGGTTGTCTCTGTATACAAACGTGCATAAATAAAAGAACGATATTTATGGTTCTTACAATTTACTAAATATTATAGAAAGATAATAATGTTCAGCAGTGATGCATTTGATGATTTATCAAGCTCAACTATTCATATTTACAAATCTACTATTAATTTTCGGGTACTTGAAAACGAAAGAAACGTTGTAGTTTTTATAAAAAGTAACCAAAAAGTAACCAAATTTCTTGATTGTGTCATAGGGCGTAACTTTTCTTATTAAAGTCACAATACGTGAATTCGTATTTCTCCAAAACACAAACAGCTCAGATAAATTGTTCAATTATATTTTAATTACGATTCTTCACTTCAAGTGGAATAATAGCAATATGGTATATATCATCAATGGTGGTCTACAATAAATATGAATACCTTACGTACCGTTCATTCACACATTAAATATTTTAACTGAGATTTATATCATTATTTAATTCATAATTTAATTTACTGGTTATAAAATAGTTTAATTAAAATAACTTACCATGTAGACAGAATTTATACATTCCTATTTATTTAGGATAGGTTACATTGATGTAAGTCACCCGTAACGTCTGTCTCTGCGAGGGTTTTCATACGATGTGAATAAAAATATTATTTCATGCAAGGGTTAATAAAATTCGCGCCAGCCATGCGCAGTGACTAGAAAAACCAGTCAAACACACCCATACGCATTCCATACTCACCGTATGACATCAGAGGTCATGAACTTACAACCCATGAATGGATGAATGAAAGAAATGACGCATGCGC